CATGCAGACGTCTTTTCCAGGAGGTATCAGCTCCTTCCTCCAGCCTTTCCTGAGTGTCGCACTCTCCCAGGCTGGCCTGGAACTGACTCTATAGCTCAGGGTGGCCTTGGACTCATGGCCATCCTGCCTCACTCTCATGAGTGCCTCATATCATGCCTGGCTTTCCAGCCCCTCAGAGGACTAGCTTAATCGGTTCTGTCCACACAGCACAGCCTCCCTTGATGAAAGTCAGTTGTGCTCGCTCTCATAACCCATTTACAGAAGTGCAATCAATCATGTGTCCAGTCTAACTTGAATAGAACTTGATTGTTGATTGTCATTGCAGAATGAGTTTAGTTGAATTTACGTAGTACACAACACCACACTTTCGTATCTGTTTTAGCTGTCTTCTTACAAATGTGTAACAATTTGTCAATTTCTTGCTCATGTACCATAACAGAGCTTTGGTAGTCGTGCGTACCTCACATAGTTTTGTGAACATTTAAGTCAGTGACTACAGGTCATGGATGGAAGTTGCAGAAGTGGATATTAAGCTAATTGTTCTTCTGGTTCTAACTCTGTTGTGTATTATTCATTTTTGGTAGTGGATAAAATTATAAAAATATATTCCGTAGTGAAAGTATAAAATCCAGTGTGAACTCCTTCAAATTCCAAATTCCTATTCTAATTGTATAGTAATTCAAATTGAGTTGACTAGTCTTTGGGTCTGTCAGTTTGTGTGTATGTGTGTGTGTGTTTTAATTTACAGCATACTTTATAATAAAGTTTTAAAAACCAGCGTAGTAATATTTTTAGCAGCATCGTTCATAGCAGACAAAAAAGTTATGGGCACGGTGGCACATGACTTTAATCCCAGCACTTGGGGAGGCAGAGGCAGGTGGACTGCTGTGAGGTCGAGGCCAGCCTGGTCCGCCATGCAAGTCCAGGACAGCCAGGGGAAACAGACACGGTGTCTCAGAAAACAGCAGCAACAACAAAAGCCTAAATATTCCTCAGTTCCTGACAGATAGGCAGTGTGCCATGGCAGGTAGTGGAGAAGTTGTTCAGCGACATGCCCAGGCAGAACCTCAACTGAAAGAAAGCACAGCATACAACCAAACCTTGTATGATGCTTTCATTGAAATGATCAGGAGGCATGTTTGCATCTAGACGAGTGGTTGCTAGGGGACGCGGAGAAAGGATCAGAGTGGCTACGTCTGTGGACTGAGGGTGATGAAATGGTGTGACAGTCGGTAATGTATATTACAGCACAATTCTGTGAATATACTAAAAAACAGAGAATTGTGTCCTTTACAGGGTAAAATTTATGCTGTGTGAGTTATTCCTTAGTGAATGCTCAGAAAGCAATGTGGGTGCGGGTATTTTCCTCTTTTTCATGTGAAATGAGTCATGTGGTGGTGACAGCAGCAAAATGGTTCAATGAGGAGTGATTGACAATGATGCGCAGAGTGGGTTAGGATGGTTGCGAACGTGATGGCTGTGCTAGCTTTTCTGTAGCCTTTGTTGTGTAGTCTCCTTCTCTAAAATTGGAGAAGAAAACAAATAGACTTTAGTCTTCTGACTTAGTAGACAAGTTGCTCAAAGTGCTTTCTTGGCCGGAAATATGTGAAGCAACACATCTTATGAATAAATGTTCAAAAGTGGCTACTGTTCAGGTATAGGGAGGAAAATAGACCACATCCCTTCCTTCAGTGAGGGGAAGCAGACAGTAACTTCTGGCAGCTGGAGGGATGAGGAAAGTAAGGACATGGAGCAGAGAATGGCAGTTAGAAGGCAGCTCAGTTCTACTTCACATAGTGTGGGTACTGAGCCTGCTTTGAGCAGCAGTTTGCCTCAGCTCTGTGTTTAAAAAAGTACCATTCCCCTCAACAGCCTTGGCACCCTTCCTGTCTGGCTCTCGGTTCCATCATTTCGCTGGATGCTCCGGGATGTCTGCTGGTTTGCTGAGACTCAGGGTGTCTATTTTCATGTTTTACAGTCTGACGGCTGACCACTTTCCGGGGAGGAGTGGGCATGGTCTCTCTCCTGCTGGTTCTTTGGCTACTTTGATGATTCTTCTTTTAGAGGCCTTTCTCTGTGTTTTTCTTGACCTTCTCTTTTCTCTGGAAATGTTCCATCTCAACCAATCACTCTGTTCTTCTGGCTTCACTTGATCTTCCTAGGGGAAAATTTTAGAATCTGTGATTCCACCCCTGCTTCTGTTAAGGCATCCAGGTCCTCCTGTGAGCTGTCTTCACTGCTTCAGGTCTCTGATGTCTGGTAAATCTAAGAAGAGACTCCTCGTTCTCCACACTGGCTCCTGTGCAATATTTGCATTAGTGCTTGAAATACTTCACTGTGGACCCTTTGTGCCCTATATGCTCAGGAGTAGGAATGTACCTACTGCTTCTTCCCTCGGCTTCATCCCTCAGTCATTTTTACTGACTTTGAAAAGATCCCACTTTCACCTTTATACTGGGCTTGTACCAATGGACATCGTGAGCTCAGCTCCAATTTGTCAAGTTTTTGCAGCACTTCCCCACCCCCTAATGCTAAGGAGTTAACCCCAGGTCCATCCCCCACATGGTAGGTTCCATTCTCCCTTCAGTGTTTGGTATCTAGGAATGTTTTCTCTGTAGGGCCCTTTACAGTGTTGAATACACCAGTAATGCCAATACTTAGTAAAACAGAATTTGGGAAGGTACTGAAAGGTTCAGACAGCAAACTCAGTGGATTAAAGGCATTTTCCTCCAGGGAAATGTAAGTAGAGCTGGTCTTTCTTCAAGCACCAGGGACACCTCAAGACTAGAAGAAGAATTGCAGATCTTGAGGCATGAGGAAGATGATGGAGAGCGAGTTGTTTCTTTTTTATCTGCAATGCTTAGGAAGGCAGGGAGCCTCGAACTGGGTCTAAGAGCAGCACAGTTGGGCTTGTAGAAAGTTTTCAAGTGTGGGAGGGGTTCTGTGATTATACCCCTGAAAGCAAAGCCTCTGTTGTCTACCAAGATATTAGAATAGTCCTGACTTGTCTTTCTGGGCATTTCATTGATGGCAGTAGGGCCAATGTAGCCACCAGTTGCTTAGGTTGCTTCTGGAGTTGTAATTCTGACTCTGAGCAGCATGTCTCTTTTCTGATACTAGCCCTTTTCCAAGAGCTTGTCTTCCACACCTGGAGATGGCTAAGTACACTTGGACAAGTGCCCATGAAAGGAAGGGGGCTGGGGCTCAGATTATTCAAATGCTTTCTCACCTACTTTATTTATTTTAAAAAATTACCTGTTTTGGTCTTTGAGACAAGATGTCAGTCAATATGTAGCCCAGGCTGGCCTTGAACTCATGATCTTTTTTTTTCTTCTAGCCTCATAAATGTTCCATTTATAGGCATAAGCTGCCATACTTTCCTTTTTGCATTTTAAATTAGACTTTCTTTCTGTTAATAGTTGTAAAGTTCTTGGTATATTCTGTATACAAGTATCTTAACAAATACATGATTTGTGGTTTTTTGTTTTTTGTTTTTTTTTTGAGACAGGGTTTCTCTGTGTAGCCCTGGCTGTCCTGAAACATATTCTATAGGCCTTGAGTAAGAGATCTGCCTGCCTTTGCCTCCTGAGTCCTGGGATTAAATGTATTACCACCACTGGAATTTTGTTAAATAATATATATATATATTAGTTCTTCATTTCTTATATGAAATGTTTTTATGAAATGTTACTTCTAAAATGACATGTAATACTGAAATGTCTTTAAAAAATTTTCCTTTTTTAAAATACTAGTGGGTTTCCTAACTGTTTTCCTGTATATCTCTGATGGCCCTATCTACTGGAAAAAGCAAGGGAAGAGGATTGTTTGAGGCCAGCCTGGGCTATGTAGGAAGGTTCAAGCTTACTTGGCTGACTACTGACTGGAAAGACATAGGCTAAAATGTTTGTGTGTCATATACTAAGATAGTAGATATGTTTTTCCTCATTGTATTTTATATATTATTTAAGTATTCTGTTATGTAAATATTTAAAAATAATGTAGGAGATGCTGTGGCCTAAAGGCACGATGAAAAAGTACAGGACAGCCTGACAGGATCTCACTCCGCGTGTTTCGGGGCCTAGCAGTCTAGAAGTTAGAACAGCCCTTAGCGTGTCACTAAAAGAGGAGTGCTGCCACCCTCCCTGGTGCTGTGTGTCTCAGGGCTCGCACCGGGGTTCTCCTCCATGCCTGCCATCTTAGGTTGCGTGGCTGCTCTGGTGGTACTGGACATAGGGGTTAGTCTGTTTCCAGTCATATTGAAGGTCCAAAAGGTAACCACATAAACACAACTAGTACCTTCTTGGTTGAATGTTGACTTCATGAAATTGTTTGAGTATAACTTTCTTTCAGCATGATTTGTCCCATCAGTCTGAATCACTTTAAAAAATATTAAAAGTGTTAGAGAGTTTATGAAAATGTGGTTGTTCAAGAAATTCTTATTGTCATCAGTCCTTATAAAATTGAGTGAATATACTGAATTCTCTCTAAATTGCGTTTTTGTTTTCTTATATATTTAGTGTTACATGAGTTATTTTCATAAACTAACTGGATAGTTGACTTAAAAGGTTTTTTAGATTTATTTATTTTTATGTGTATGAATGTTTTGCCTGCATGCATGTATAGCATGTACATGCCTGTTGGAGCCCCTGGAGCTGGGACTATGGATAGTTGTGAGCTATCCTATAGGTGCGGGGGAGTGTACCTGGGTCCTCTGCATAAGCAGCAAGTGCTCTTAACTGCCGAGCCAGCTCTTTAGCCCCCAGAGAATTTACTTTAAAAGTCAGCTACAAAAATTGACTGTATATTGATTGTGGGTTGGGAATTGTTTAAGCTATTGTAAGTTATTAGCAGAATTATTGTACACGATTGGTTCGGTATGAAGATTCTTACATAATCTTTTTCTATTCTAGAAATTATAGCAATCAGTAATTTGGAAAAGGACTATCATACAATAAGGTAGTGGCTTAATAACAACTAAAATAATTTCTTTGTTTATTTAGGAGCTGGTAATGCTTCTTTTAGAATACAATGCTGATACTACCGTTGTAAATGGGAGCGGACAGACAGCAAAAGAAGCCACCCATGACAAAGAAATCAGAAACATGCTTGAAGGTAAACAGGCATCTTAACATAAACAGTGCTTTGTGTTATTATTGCTAAGGCCACAGATGAGAAAGCATAGCTCTGCAGCACCAGTGGAGATGACAACAAAGCTCTCTGTATTGCTGATGCCATTCACAGTCATTGTTTACACGCAACTTTGTTTCCTCCCTCTGTTAGTTACTTGTAGCTGTGGCAGAAGAGCTGACAAAAGCAGCCTAAGGAGGGAAGGATTTGATGTGGCACAAAATTTGAAAGGGATAAACTACAGAATGGCAGCAAGGCATGACGGGTGGCTCCACGGTGGGAGGAGCATGCCAGTGCGAGTGTTCCTTTACTTTGGAGGAACAGAAAGCAGAGAGAGGGCCAGAAGGGGGTAGGGCTGTGAAAAATCAAGGCCCACTTCAACTACCCACTTTACTCTGCTAGGTCCCATGTCTCAAAGATTTCCTGACCTCCTAAACACAGCCACCAGCTGCAGACCAAGCATTCATATGAATGGGGCAACTTGTCACATCCAAGCTGTAGCATTCACTTTATGACTGTTAAAATCTTTGCTTATGAAAGAACATAGTAAGTTAAAAATATGTCTTCAGTGCACAATGAAAGGAATAGAAAGTGGAGACCTGAGGAGATGTGGCTTTGGGTGAACTGCTGCTGCATGGTAATGAGAGCATAGGAAAGAAGGGCAGAGAAACTGCCTGAGCTGTAGTTACACATCGTTCATCAGCACAGAGAAGTCTGTCTGCCTTCGTCTTCCATAGGACCTCACTGTAGTGTAACACCAACACTTATTTCTTGATGGACTGCTTAGTAGCTATAGGCATCAGAGATTAAATTGCATCTAAGAAGATGTATAATCCTTTAAAAGTGTAGAAAAATTTCTCTGCTACAGTTTAAAACAAAATCATTCCCATGTTTATACTAGAAAAATCTAAGGTAATAGAATTAGTCTTTGAATAACTTAGGCTTTGCTGTACGGCCAGACCAGGTAATTTTTACTTTGCCAATAAAGTCTCAGGATTACATCTGCAACTTCACACATACTCTGTTTCTCTTTCTTGCAAGAAAAGAGAAGGGTGATACAACTTTGTATTTAAGAGCATTAACTTTGTAACTTTAATTATTTGCATTTTTATTTATGTGAAAATAAATATTATGTGATAATAGTCTTGCTTTTAACAATTTTCCAATGGATTGAACTCTTCTCATTTACCCTGTAGTTATGAAAACAATGAGTGTTTGTGAGGCACTTATATTAAAGAATTGTTACTAACGCATGCTGCATGAGTGTTGTGATCTTTCTCTGCAGCCGTGTACCGCACTGGTCCCATCCAGCTACCTGAGTAGCTGTTCTTTGAGGTTGACGTTTTTGTCACACATCTTTACATCACTGTGTTCACTTGTAATGAACTCTCTGTTTCAGCGAGTAACCAGATCCGCTTACCTTCTAAGGCTAGTCATTGTAGCCTGTGACTTAGGGACTTATGGATCATATTGGATATGGTCTTTACTCTTTAATACATTGTGATCTCATTGAAAGGTGAGGTAACGTTTCTGATCCTGTCCTGTCATTGTCCTGTCTCATGGGAAGCCAGGGCTGAGATTTTCCTCATGGAATGAATGTTAGGCTAGTCTGACAAGCAGATATATAAGAGGGGATTATGAAGACATACTCCAAGGTGCTTCTGAAACCCAAGCTGTGCAAAGGCAAGGGCTTAGTTGACTTTATAGCTGATGTCGTTTGTCAGCTCATGTGCTTTTATGTTAGCCTGGCCAATAGAAAATACAGGCTTAATTGAGTGATTCTGTTCTGATGAGATCACCTTACCCATATATAATGCCATTTGTGGACAGCATTAAGTTGTCATTTGCAGAGTCCGGGAAGTGCTGGGGATAACTCACCATGATAGTTGAAGAGAAACCAGATAACAAGATAACATACAGAGACAGGAAATACAAGTAGTATAAGGAAACCACACCTAATATCTGAAGTGATGGCATTTCAAGACAGATGATCTTATTTGTGGTAGAAACAGCCAGTTAGTGGGCCAGAGGTTGAGTACCACAGTTTATCTCTGGACCCACTGCATTGTTCACAGGGTGAGTTACCTTGAAAGGCACAGTGAGTTTTCCATGACAGGGGGTATTCTGGAAGAGGATAGACTGCTACCTGTCAGGCTCTGGTGAGGAATAGCTGCTCTCTCTTTCTCTCATTTGTAGACTATAGAAAGGATTTAGAATAATGAAAATGAATCCTAATATGCTCTTTGTCTTTCACTGAGATTATATGTACAAATATCTTGTCTCTATCTTTAAAATATTATTTTATGCTACTGAATTGATTTTGTGTTGTTGTTGACCCACTTGAAAGTAATTTGCATGCCAAATGGCATTATTGCCTCCAGACACTTCAGTGTGTCTCTTAAGAACAAGGTGTTCTCTGGGAGGTAGAGGCAGGCAGATCTCTGTGAGATCAAGCCTGATCTACAAAGCGAGTCCAGGATCGCCAAGGCTATACAGAGAGACCCTGTTTCAAAAAACAAACAAATAAATAAACAAACAAAAGTATGTGTTGTCTCCACAAGAGCATGGCCCTCAGAATCACCTGAGTAAGGCTCATTGGGGCTTATAGAGGCCTGAGCAACAATCAGGGACCCTGTATTGATCCAGCTAGGTCTTCTGATATGCTTTGGTGTTCTAGTGACACTCCTAGCAGTGGGAGTGGGGATCATCAATAACTTGCCTTCTCTGGGCCCAGATTTGTTGGCGCTGTTGGTCTCCTTGTGGAGCTACTTCCTGGTCCTTCTAGCTCCCTCTTCTAAAAGACTCCCTGTACTCTGCCCAAAGTTTGGCTGTGAGTCTCAGCATCTGCTTTGATATCCTGTTGAGTGGAGCCTTTCAGAGGACCCTCTATAGTAGGCTGCCATCTGTTCCCTCTCTTCCGCCACTTCTGAAGTCTATCTGCCGTTCTGAATGAGATTTAAGCATCCTTCCTAGGGTCCTCCTTATTGTTTAATTTCTTTAGGTCTGTAGATTTTAGTATGAAAACCTGTAATTTTAAACATTTAAACATTTAATTTAAAACCTGAAAGTTTAAACATTTCTTTTTACCTCAAGAAGTTTGGATAAGAAATGCTCAGCCTTTTATAATATAATACACATTTCACATGCAGATTTTGTCAGTTGTCCACATAACATCTACCCAGTTTAGATCTAGTGCATAATTCCATGTTGTAGTTGTCATATCCTCCCAGTCCCTTTATCTGGGACAACATTCTAGCCTCTGTTCTATGTAATGTTGACTATTTTGAAGAGGGTGGTGGCTGAGTCTGAGGAAGGAAAGATGGCCTCAAGTTTGTGGCCTGCTTGGTCTTTACAGGGAGGTCCATGCCAGTTAGAGCCACGAAGTGAGACTTGCCTCTCAAAAAGCATATGTATGTGGGGAGGAGGTTGGTTGGAAAGACAGTTTGAGTTTTTCATTCTGTGTGATGAGATACAGGACATCTAGTGGGGGCGGGAATACTAAGTAGGTGAGAGTGTTGCCCAAGTTGCTGTATTATGTTAGGACACACGTGATTGATTTGTACAGCCATCAAGTCAGTTGACACTGACTAACCCAGATATTGGTGGTCCGCTGGAAAAGCAGCTTTTTTATTTGTAATTAATAAATAGACTATGAAAAGGGGAAGCAAAAATACCTTGCTTACCAAGAAACTTTTAGTCAGAAATGTAATGTACATTAATAACACTTGTCCCAATCCTTCGTTTCTTTGGTGACTGCAAAGTAGAGGCTTCATGAAATTCCTCCCCAGGGGCTGTGGATTGCAATTGCATTATTATGTAAGCTACTCCATGAAGAAGCTAAGCTTCAGTAGTAGGGTACTGTGATCCCAGTGGTAGGAGGTGACTCTCTGTGCCCTGGTAGGTTCTGGCCAGCCTCAGCTATTTAGCAAGGTCAAGGCTAGCCTGGGCTGCATGTGACCTTGTGTTAAAAGTCAAAACAAACATTCAGTGAGGAAAACATTCAGAAAAATGGATATTAACACGTAGCTCACTGTTCCATAGAAACATCTGTCTGAACAGCACAAGAAAAGAACACTTTCAGGGTCTTTTATCCCGGGCAAGAGCCTTTGTATGTCGTTGGCTGAGTCCGTAGTCTTCTTTGTGCACCATGAATAAACAAAGAATAGGAAATGCCCAGGAACATATGCAGGGTTTTCCTCTCTGAATCTTTGCCTGTTTTCCCTCCTTTGTGAACCTAGAAACTATAGAAATAAATATTACTTTATTCCTTTTTATTTTCTTCATTCTTTAAAGTCCGGAATCTGGCTATACATCACCTTAATTGTTATTGGTCAGATACGCTTTATGCCAGACACTGTCATCCATTCTTAGAATGATCAAGGGTGAGGCTAAGCACCCTAACTTAAGAATGAGGAAGGAATAAGTCACAGCCAAAGGTAATTCTGAGGGGGACAGGCATGCACAGGAAGGGGGGGATGCCGCTGCTCTCACTGCCCACAGTCCAGTGAGAGGAAAGACTGAACAGAGCAGGTTCAGCCATGGAAGAAGCCACTGAGAACCTGTGTGGAGAGAGACTGTACATGGGGCTAAAAGTACAATAGAAGATGGTATGTAGTAACTGCAGTCATTTGTTACTCCAGCCATTCCTGTGTGTACTGTATGTGTTTGTTTAAATCCCCATATGCACTGTATGTGCTTGTTTAAATGTGTTTTGAGAAACAGCACACAGGAGCGAAAGCTCGAAATAAATGTTCCCTTCCCTAGTTACTTGGCTCTTCATTGGCTTCTCTGCCCAGGACTCTTTAGCCAGGAAGACTGCTAGGGAATGATCCTGCTGGCCTTTACATACATGTTAAGCTGGATTACTAAGTATTTGCATGAACTTGCTTCAAAATAACTTGTAAGGTCTCATATAGCTTAAGTTGACCTTGAAATTGTTGTGTAAGAGAGGATAACTTTGAACCTTGATCCTCTCTTTTGTTTATGAAAGCTTTTTATTTATTTGTTTGTTTTCTTTTTTATTGTTTATTTGGGAATCTCACATCATGCAACCTTACTTCTCACCCCCCGGTCCTCTCTTGTCTGATACCCCTTCCCTGTGACCTCTCCTCCCTCTCAGAGAAACAGACAGACAAACAAACATGTCCATTCTGTGTTGTCCATATACCCACTGGCACATGGTCCAACTCCTAGTGGCGAGCCTCCCAAGCTGAGTCCTTCTCCATCTGCCCCAGAAGCCATCAGCTGTGGACTGCAGAGGCCAGCGAGGGGCAGAGGAAGTGCTATTTCTTTTTAAAAAAATTTACATTAAATTTTTTTTTTTGTTACCATGTATTCACTTTCTATCCTAGCTATAGGCCCCTCCCTCATCTCCTCCCCGTCCCACATTCTCTCCCTCTTTCCTCCTATCTCCCTCCCTTATTGTACTCCAAGAGGGAGTCCTCCTCCCCTACTGTCTGACCCTAGCCTGTCAAGTTGTATCAGGGCTGTCTGGATCCTCTTCCTCTGTGGGCTGGCAAGGTCACCGCACCAGGCAGAAACGATCAAGGAGAAGGCAACTGAGCTCATGACAGAGACAGCCGCTGATCCCCTTACTAAGGGACCCACATGGAGACTGAGCTGCCTATGGGCTACATCTGAGCAGGGGTCTAGGTCCTCTCCATGCATGGTCCTTGGTTGGTGCATCAGTCTGTGCAGCCCCCCCTGGGCCCAGAATTTTTGGCTTTGTTGGTCCCTTGTGGAGCTCCTGCCCCTTTGGGACCTTCTATCCTCCCACTCTTCTATATGACACCCTGCACTCTGTCCAAAGTTTGGCTCTGAGTCTCTGCATCTGCTTCAACACCCTCCTGGATGGAGTCATGCAGAAGCCATCTATGATAGGCTCCTGTTCTGTTCCCTCTCATCAACCCCTTCTGCTGTCTATCCTCTTTGCTCTTCTGAATGAGGATTAAGCATCCTTCCTAGGGTCCTCCTGGTTGTTTAGCTCCTTTAGCTCTATAGACTTTGGTATGTTTATCCTCTATTATATGGCTAATATGTGCTTCTAAGTGAGTGTATACCATGCTTGTCTTTCTGCTTCTAGGTTACCTCACTCGGGATGATCTTTCTTATTACTGCTTTCCCCTTTATAATATTCTAGAAGTTATGAACCCCATTTATCTTCTTTTCAAGGCAGATAAGTACTATTTTGATCATCAAATGCTCATAATTGTTTATGCTGAGTATTATAATGTCATCCCAAAATGAAGGAAATGGAACTCACTGGAAATGAAAAGCAGAACTCCCAAATCTAACAGTATTTGTTCAAAACATTTGTATTTTTTACACTGTGATCAAGTTATTCTTTGTTTTTTTTTTAATATTTATTTTTATTTATAAGTTTGTTTGGATCTGTGTAAATGTGTTTCATGAATGTATAGTGGGTACCTGCAGAAGCCAGAAGAGATGTCATCCCCTGGGGTGGGGGTTATAGATGTTTGTAAGCTGGCCAGTATGGGTGCTGGGAATATGACTCAGGTCCTGTGCAAGAGCAGCCAGTGCTTTTACCTGTTGAGTCTCCTTTTTATATGTCTCTGTAATGACTATTCCAATAAGATCATACCTGGAGAGCAGCAGCTCTCAATCTGTGGGTTGCAACCTTCCCATCCGGTGGTCATATATCAGATATTTATAGTAAGATTCATGGAAGTAGCAAAATTACATTATGACATAGCTGTGGAATATATGCACAGATTGAGGAACTGTATTAAGGGGTGGCATTAGGAAGGGTGAAAATCACTGCTGTAGAGTAAGACATGTTTTTCTCTTGCAGCTGTGGAAAGGACTCAGCAAAGAAAGCTTGAAGAACTGCTTTTAGGAGCAGCTAGAGAAGGAAGAACAGCCGAAGTGTCAGCTCTGGTAACAAGCATCGGTTCTTTGTATGCTAGGAAGATCTTCCTTCAGTGTTAAAGTCGTAATTCAGTGACTGTAGGAGGAATCCCCACACTAGGATAGAAGTGACACACATACACACAAGTATGTGTGTGTGTGTGGCAGCTCACCAGGAGGATAGTTTTGCAGGTTTCCATACTGAGATCTCTACGTTTTTGATTCATCTCTTTGCTGCAAATAAAAAACCTGATGATTAAGAAATCAATTTTTACAGCAAATAGTTAAAGTGTAGAAAATTTAATTTTTTTCAAATTAGGCCCATTTAAAATTGAAAAAAAAATACAGAATCCAGTTGAAGAGAAAGTTATTTGCATTTTGATGGACAATAAATTCTGAAAGAATATTGTCCTTCTTAGAGGAGTAACATAGCAAGAAGGGACAGTGTTTGGATCAAGTACTTAGATCAAGCCGAGCAAGCTGGCAGCCTTGCCTGCTTTCCTATTCTTTCTAGGAGACCTACTTTCTCATTTCCATTTCCTGCATGGTCTCATTAAATATGAAACTAAATTTGTTCTGAATTCAAGTCTGAACCAATGCCATTTGCTGTAAAGCTATTTCAGCTCACTTGAAAACACTTCTCTCTGGTTTCTAAGTATAGTACCTGCAACATTTTAAAATTTTGTGAAATGGAGACTATATAGAGATTGCTAAAGCAGTAAGGTGGGAACGACAAATTCAGCAGAACCTTGACATTTATGCTTCTACCGTCTCAGGGCTTAACTCAACTTAGGGACTGTTGGCAGGTACATGATTTATAGTTTTGCTGTCACAAGTGCAAAACGCAAGACTTTTGAGAGTGAGCATGCTAGTGAAATCTTCATGTGAGGCAGACGTGAGTGTCACTGCTGTTGCGTGTGGTGCCAGGACACAGACCTCAGGTCTCATACCTGCTGCAGATAAGCATGGGCCGAAGGTGGAGAGCCTGAAAACCGGTATGAGAGGAAACCTGTCTTTGGTGTAATCACATTGTATTCCTCTATTAGCTCAGCAGGCCCAATCCTCCTGATGTGAACTGTTCGGACCAGTTAGGAAATACTCCTTTGCATTGTGCAGCCTATCGGGCCCATAAACAGTGTGCCTTGAAGCTTCTGAGAAGTGGAGCTGACCCCAACCTGAAGAACAAAAATGGTAAGTGTGTTGATGGAAGTCATCCTTGGTCATTTTCACTCTACAAGATGCAGTCAGTACTATAGAAAACTATTGTGTTTGGTATCCAGCCTTTGTTAAATTAGATGGTCTCCATTTTAATTAAGGATATTCACAAAAGTAAAGAATGACATTTTCTTCTCCTTTAAGACTTAACTAGTAATGCACTCCCTACTCCAAATGAGCCAAGTGTTAACCAAGATAATCCTACCATCAAGCAGATGGTAGGATTACATTCTCTAATGTTGCCACCAACACTGAATTAGAGAGTTCTGAACCACTCCTTTAAGAGCACCCAAGATTAGAGTGTCATGAGCCCCTCTTGTCATGGCATTTTCATCCAGTGATCAGTATACAGCCATGCTTTATGAGTGCCACTATTTAAGATCACCTTGTGTAATATGTGTTACAGATACATTGACTGAGGTCATGGCCAATGGAGCCTTTAATATATCATAGTCTTGCACTTGGAAACACTGCCCAGCATTTTAGTATGATTCTTTGGGGCCATTTTATGTGAGGAAGTCAAAAGCAAAACACACTAAAACATGACACTGAGAAGACTGCAGTAAGGTGCTTGGCCATTACCCACCTGAGAGGAGAAAGTCAAGTCTGACCTGTTCCACTTCAGCTTGCAGAGCAATCTGGGACAGCTAGTGTTGGGTCATTCAAAATTTTCACTACTTTGGAAATATCTTTGGATGTCCAAAAACATTGGCTCAAATAATTGACTGTGGGGTTGGATGGCCTTTATAGCAGTAGGCAGACTTGCTATACTGAAGCATGTTCAGGAATGGGGTAAAAAGCTGCTACTCTTTGGAATGATTTGCACGCATCTGCGCTTTTCTTCTGGTCATCCAGTGCTGACCTTGGTACTGTTATACATGCACATTTGCACATGACATTGGAAGGTTACAGGTTTCTAGTAAAGATTTGTTGGGATTAAGCTGAAATTTCCTTCTATTTAATTTGAAGAGAGATGACATTTTTGTTGAGTTTTCCCATTAAGGGACAAAGACGTTTCATGCAATTTCAAATACCCTGTTATTCCACTCATTTTATTTTATTTTATTTTGCTAACTCATGCACATTTTTCTGTTGAAATTGCTGGCTATAAGTTGATGTAGGTAGGGAGCATGCTCATTTAGTTATAAATGTGCTTTATTGAGTTATTCCTGTATGCTGGGCCCTGCGGACATCGAGTCCAGAGATGAGGCAGAGATTTCGTCTAGTTAGTTGGCAGCAGCTGAGAATTTATTTTTGGCATTAGGGCAAGATTTTATGAAGGAAATCATATTATTATCTTTCCCTCTGCTAGAAGGATAGTTTCTGAAAAGTGTCCTACAGATGGGATAGAGATAACAGAACTGGCAGACTGTTATCTTTCTAGGTGCTGCTAGAAAAACTGAACTGCTGACTGGTTTCTCAGTGAACAGATTTTTTCGAAAGGATTTTTCTCCTCACTGAAGAAGCAGATGCCAGCATCCCTTGCTTCACATATCAGCAGATATGTGAATTCCCCTGTAAATCCCCCTCAGAACAAAGTTGAGCCCGTGAGCTTTTCTCTAGATTAATACAATGGCCATTCTCCTTTCATCCCTTCCACCCCCTGGATTATCTTGAAGTCATTCCAGGGAGCATACCATTCCCTTGAAAATATTTAAGTATATTAGTAAAAGAGAAAGGCTCTGTAAACAAGTATGTCATAGGTGTACAGTTCTGAGTGTGTTAAGGCTGATTTAATTACGCCCTTCAAATTAGAATTGTATGGTATGTCAATTTCTGTGTCAGTAGAGCTGGTAAACACCTGAAGCACAATGGTAGGACCAGCCAGTTAATGTTGTAATTTCTCAAAATCTTGAAATATATGCTTAAACACTCAGACAGAATTTGAGTATCAGTCAAGCCGTATTCTTTCTTGTCCGAAGACCTTGCATGGACTTTCCAGTGTGTCTGGAAAGCACAGGTGTTTGTGCTTACCTGGCTCACAGACATCTGGCTCTGGTGACCTGCCTCCTTGTCTCATCCTGTCTTGTCCTCTCTTGGGGCCTTTGCATTAGCCATTCCCTGTGTCGCCACAGTAACCATCCCTTCCCCAGAGAGGTCAGCCTGGAACAGTCTCTCACTCTCTACCTGACGTGGTAGCTGCTGTCTGTCAAATTGGTCACTGATTATATAAGCATATCATGCTTTATTTCCTGTTATGTGTCTTTTAGAATGAATTTATTACTGTCTTCTATATTGTTCATTGCTAAATCACCAGTGCCTTATAATGGTGATTGCCACATAATAGAACTTTATGAGAAGAAATAGAAACAGATGTGACCAGTACATACCAGATGTTTGGTATTTTTAAAAGACTTGGGCAGTAAACCAGGAAGTCAACGTTAACAAATTGAGTAAACAAATTGACACCAGGAGAAGGAGTCTGCATTGTTTTAAACTGGTAGGCTTGTGATAGTGTCACATCAGTCCGGAAACTAATACAGTCATTTATGGCCAGAAAACCTGACTGGCCTCGGAACCCGCACAGGGTGTTCTGGGGACAATCAGATTTTCTGACTCAATAGCTCCCAAAAAAAGAGGCTTTAAAGAATCAAGAGGGCAACTTCTGGCAGGTGATTTTATTGTATTTTTTGTTGGTGGGAAGGAGTTTTTGAAAACACAAAGGAGAATTATATGGACAACTATAGTAAATTTTGTTGTGTAGTTGACATAGTGATGTTTACTTTTGTATTTTACATAGACCAGAAACCTCTTGACCTTGCCCATGGTGCTGAAATGAAGCATATTCTTGGTGGTAATAAGGTGAGTTTTGGTGGACTGAATTCCTAAATCTCTAATTCTTTAAATGTCTAAATTTCTAATTTCCCCAAACAGTAAGTTTTTGGGAAAAACTTGAATGCATGCTCCATCTCTGTAGACACGTCTAATGAAGTGTTTTCAGCAGGTTGTCTACAAAGCACTGAAGCGCTATGAAGGCCCTCTCTGGAAGGTAGGGCGGGGCTTAAGTAGGAGGTGGAAGGGATTCTTCATGTTTTGTTTCTCTTGAGGTGTTTTTTTTTTTTTTTTAGACATACAGCATGTCTCTGACTGACCATGGTCTAATTCACGAGGTTTTGTCTGTTTAGTGCCATAAAAAGATGTACAGGGCAACTCTGCTAGCGAGTTGCAGGTCCCAGTCAGCCATGTGGCCATGAGGGCAGCGACCAAGACTGCACAGCACTGTGTTGCCATCGTGCTTTGCATAATGCTCTGTATGTTTTTACTGCCCCCTCCTTCCCACCGTGGTGTGCATTGCCAAACATGTGCAGACTCAGAAACCTCTCTACCACTGTGCTAGACCCTAGCGTAGCTTGTGTTTGTGGGTTTTATTATGAAATAGACTGTGTGTGTGTGTGTGTGTGTGTGTGTGAGAGAGAGAGAGAGAGAGAGAGAGTGAGATGGTTTTGCTCTGTTGTAGCTAATGTAAATATTAGTGTTCTGAGTTAAGCTATGGTTGGCTTCAGTGTGCTGAAGGCTGGCTTTACTTAATGAGTAGTTCTGGAAATTAAATCCAAGGCCTTCTGTATGCTAGGTAAGATGTCCACAACAGAGCTACATTCTTGTCCCTTCAGTGAATATTTTTAGTTATAATTTTTCAAGTCATGATGGTTTCTTTGGATATACCCCTCATAAGTTGAGGATTTCTGGATCTTATATTGTAAGCCACTTTTATACCCTTACATTTTAAGAGGCTTCTTTTTAGTGTATCAATCGCTTTAGTTATGCTGATTGTGCTTTAAAGTGAGTAAGTTTAACAGGAAGGAGTAGAGGAAAATATTTTTTCTCACTAAGTCATAATTGCAGTATTGTTTTTGTTACCAACATCAAATTATAAAAGACTTCATAGAAAAGTCTTCCTGAAATATCCTAGGAGAGATTTCCTGGTTGTAAACACTTGTGAGTTCTAGAATGTGGTTATTCTCTAGGCTCCCCCATGGTGGTGCTCACCACCATTTGCACCTGTAAGTAGTTCCTGCAGAATAACTTTTTGTGTGTTAGCAGACTATATATAGTGAATTTAGGATAATTCTCTTTTTACACATTTATTCACGACCTTGAGGAAATTGTGTTCAAAGCCCAGAACTGCTGTTTTCTATAAACAATCCTGGGCAGAGTCATAAACCCGGACCTTGGCAGTGTAGCATTTGTGTGTGAGTGTGTGAGTGTGTGAGTGTGTGTGTGTGTGTGTGTGCACGCGCGCTGTAGTGAGGGGTATGTTCTCATCATTGCACTTGGCATCTGAGCTCAGTTTTATTGCTGTTTATTGTTCAGTCCTCCCATCTAGATGAGCGTCTCAGATCTATATTTATGCTTAGTTACTTTTCCTCAGTTATGTATTTGAATCCAGATGCATCAGCTTGGAAAATTTTTGTCATTTTCCTGTAGAGTTCAAGATTTTTTGGCTGGAAGTTATTCTGGGTAGTACTAGAACACGGAGTCCTTTCCTGGTATAGGAAACAGTAAGTATTATGCTTATAATTACTAAATTTCAGAATATAAGTTTTAAAATATTAGAAGCTTTCACTTAGCTCTTTTTCTTTGTCCTGATTTAATTTTTGTTTTGAAGGCCTGATGCAGTCCATAACACTTACCGCCAGGGGTGCAAACACCTGACTCAAGCGGTGTGCACGGTAAGATGAGTCGTGTGTGGTCTGTACAGACTGTGAAGTCCATGCTGACGTGCCTGGTCCCAACCATTGCAGACTCGGGCAAGGCCATGGGTGGGTGGACTTGGGTTTTCACATTTGGGAACAATTGACAATAAAGAATCTCTGCTTACATGCGTGTATACACACACACACACACACACACACAGACACACACACACTCAACTTGTTTATTTTCACTTGCGGCATTAAAAACGGGTGATTTAAAGCCACCTAGACAGAGCTGTCAACACTGGAGGGGCATGTGTGTCTTTTTCATGGGTAAATGTGGATGATGGGAGTTTCTGGGGTTACAATAAAACTTAAAGCCTGTGTCAAAATCGGGACTCTTAAGTTCTTTGCACTCACTTCCAGCTGTTTAACTCTTACTGTATAGGAGACTGACATTCCTCTATTTACCGATTGGGCTAACCTGGAGCCCAGACATACTTAAGTCCAGTGGGGCTGTCCAGGAACACTGCAGGCCATCTGCCCTCAAGTGCACATGCCTTGCTTCTCCACATGTCAGCATACTTGAGGTCAACCGGGCTCCCCTTTGAAAGGTTACAGGCTAAGTTAACTGCCCCATCAATTCAGAACAACTTTGTGGCCGAGTTGGGTCCATATACAGGCCCTTACGTCTTGTCCACACTGGACTAGAAGACCTGTGAAAAGTTCTGATGCTACTCATTGTGTCCTTTGTTTTTCTTTTTTTGCATTATTTATTTATTTATTTACTAATTATAGTTTATTTACTTTGTATCCCAGCTGTAGCCCTCTCCCTTGTCCCCTCCCAGTCCTCTGCCCTCCCTCCCTCATCTCCTCCCATGCCCCTCTTCAATCCCACTGATAGGGGAGGTCCTCCTCCCTTTCCATGTGACCCTAACCTTTCAGGTCTCATTAGGACTGCCTGCATTGTCTTTCTCTGTGGCCTGGTAAGGCTGCTCCCCCCTCAGGGGGAGTTGATCAAAGAGCCTGTGGTTCTGCTTTAGTGCTTGCAGGAGCTCCTCTGCCACAGTAGCTTGACCCTCTGCTTTATGTATGAGTAACGAGTAATGCTGGCGGGCTTCACATCTCCCCAACTGTCTACTATTATTTTGGATAGTGGCCATCCTCGTGTGTGTGCTGTGGTAGCTCATTACAGTTGAGATTTGCCTTTCCCTGTCTTAGTGGTATTTGGCAGATTTTTAGGTGCTTTTTGATCATCAGTGAAGGAAGGTGTATTTAAGTCCTTTGCCTGTTTCAGTTCAGCTGATTGTGTTTGTTCTTTATATACTCTGAGATATTCTGAGATGTAATAGTCTGGTGTTTTCCCACTCTGAATAGGATGATAGTGTTCTCTGACATACAGAGAATTTAGATTTTTAAAAAAAGATTTATTTATTTATTATTAATATAGTGTTCCACCTGTATATATACCTGCAGGCCAGAAGAGGGCACCAGATCATAATATATGATGGTTGTGGTTGCTTGGCTTTGAACTCAGGACCTTTGGAACAACAGACAGTAATCCTAACCTCTGAGCCATCTCTCCAGCCCTGAGGGTTTATATTTTGACACAGTGTTAGTTAGCTGTTAACCTTGGTTGCTTCTGTAGTGGTGCTTTGTCTGGACAGCATTTCAGGTACATTGTCATACGGTTTCTCTCCCTTATATTTTCTTTCATGAATTTTGTAGTTTGTGACCGGATCCATTTAGAGTTAATTTTGTATGTAGTATAAGGTACAGATTCAGCTTCATTTTTCTGCCTGTGGATATCCAGTTGTACTCACACCATGGTTTGAAGTTTGCTCCTCCCCACCCCCTCAAGTGGACTTGGCAGGCTTTTTTTGAAATCACTTGAACATACATAAGGTTTGTTTTATTGCATTGGCTCATGCTGTTGTTATAAAAGAATGAATATCCCAACAGTTCTATTTTACCAGTAAAGCCAGATGCTGGGGTGGAAACCTGCTAGCTCAGAGAGGCAGAGAAAGCACCCAGCTAACCTTCTTTCTCAGCTCACCTCTTGATGGAAAGGCCTGAAAGACCTGCTGGCTCAGCTGACAGCCCAGCAGGAAAAGGCATAAAACAAAACAAAACAAACTAAAACAAAACAAAACAAAAAACACCTCAAGGCCAAAGGTTTGCTAGCTCAAAGCTCAAAAAGCCAGAGAGCTAAAGCTCTAGAGCTAGAGAGCTAAAGCTCTTCTACTTCTCCACACTGTCTTAAATACCCCTCAATGCTGTCCCTCCTTCTCTTTAATCCCTGTCACTTGACTTTTTGCTCAGCCTCTTGACCTAGGGTTAACTTTATTAAATGTGTACAGAAAGCTCTTGGATTAAAAGTATGTGCTAAGACTGGCTGAACCACACCATAATCACCTGTTTACAGTAAATAGAAAGCTTTTGGATCAAAGTTGTGTGTTAGGGCTCAAGTGCACCAAAATAAAGGTCATAAGACACAGTCTCAGAGCTCACGATGGGATCCAATATCCTACCACATCGTGCACCTGCCAATACCACACAGTTTTCTTCACTGTGGCTTTGCAGTGTGGTTTAAATTGATGAAGACGGTGACCTCAAACCTCATTCTTCACTTACAAGATTATTCTGGATATTTGTGGACTGTTGAAAATTCATGCAGATTTTACGGTGTGCCAAAGACCATGTATTTTTATATGCTGTTGTTTGGTTTTGTTTCTCCTACAATATTTTTTGATTATTTCTCTTTAATTCCTGTGTTTTTCTTTTGGCTTTTACAGTCATTTTTTTTTTAAACACTCTGCAGGGTTCCCTGAGTCTTGACAGTAATGGGAGTTTATGGTAGTGGTGGTGATGACACAGATTTTCTCTTTATGGCTGAACATGAGGCTGTCACTTTGACCATTTATGAGCCTCTGCAGCTACTACTGCCCTTTGCAAAAAAGAAACTTTTTTTTTTCCTGAGATGGTATCAACAGTAATCTGTGAGAATAAACACAGTTGTTTAGGAAGTAATTTGATTGGCTCATCATGTCTATTTAGCAAAATGACAGCAATATCTTCCCTCCGAGGGCCTATAAAATCCCCCAGCCATTATTTTTCCACTGTGTTCTCAGTGTTAGATGAGAAACCCCTCAGTCAGATCTGGGATCTAGTTAAAGGATAGTTGGTTATACCTGCAATAGGCTTTTGACTACTGTGCCTGTGGGGACATCTTGTCTGACCTGTCAGTGGTGCTCACACAAGGTCTAGAGCTGGGGAAGACCAATCTGCTGCCTCTTCCCCAGCAGCCTCATAGCATCTTTCAGCGTCATGAGTGCTGTCCAACAAGGAGGCTACTTCATGTCTCTCAGGCGGGTTTTGAACTCACAGTGTAGGGGAGGGTAGGTGACATTGAACTCCTGAACTTCCATTCTCTATCTCCAAGAGTTAGGATTACAGGGACCATCACCATGTGTGGCATTAAAAAGCAAAACAAAATGGCAACAAGAAACCCGCAAAACAGACAACAAATCTACAGTTTAAAAGCCCCAACTTTTAGTTGCTTATATTTAGTTTGGTTTCTCATAGTTTGATTTAGTTTGAGTTTTGTTTGGCTTGAACCCCGGACCTTATGCATACTATAATAGTTTCTTAAGATTGAAACTTAAAATAGTGAGATCTTTTTTACTAACAGAGTCTTTAAACTATTAGTAAATATTTTACTATTTGTAGCTGTTTTTGTTTTACCCCACTAGCTTTGGTAGGTTTCGTTTCATTATCAATTAAAATATTTTATAATTTCTATTGTGACTTCTGCTTAGAGCCAGTAAATAATTCTAAAAATTAGAAGTGTGATGTTTAACTCCCAAGTAATTGGGCTTTTCTGATTATCTTGTTCTTGATCAATAATTGCATTTTGATTTACTGAGGCTTGTTCAATGACTTACTTACAGACTATAATAATAGTGCACTTGTGCTTGACGCCACAAGGATAGATGGCCCAGCATTAAAAACATTTGTTGCTTTTGCAGAAAATATTTATTTCCTAGTACCCATGTTGTGGCTCACAACTCTCTGTAACTTTACTGCTGGGACACCTGGTACCACCTCTTCTGACCTCTCCAGACAACCATACTCGGATGTGGCACAGGTGTATGTGCGCGTGCAGAAGATTCATACACATTAAAATAAATCGTAAAAAGAATGTTTCATTATTGCTAAGTAAAATGTCTTATAACTTGTTGAGTCATGGTGCTATTCCCGTCATTTGTTTTCTCTAGTATATTGCTAGTTATATTCAATTGCTGAGGTGCTAAGATCTCTACAAATATAGTTTTATATCAGTGGATGTTATTGATTTGATGTTTCCCTAATTGACATTTTGCTTTGAAATAGGTTTTTTCTGATGTAGTATGACCAGCCTGCCTGGACTTTTTTTACTACCTGTCCACTTACTTCAAACCTATCTGTATCTCTGTTCTGTCTCTTGTAGGTGGTATATATTTTAGTTCCTGTTTCCATTCTGACAGTTTTTGACTTTTAATTAATCATTTGAATGTGTTTTGCTGACTTGCTTCCTCATGTTAGGTCCCTTCCAACAATATCCGTAGTATAGTGAATGTTGTGTTCTGGAGAGTGGGCTCTGTCACTTGTCTTTGCTAAGTCATTTTCATGGCTTGCTCTAGAGTATAGACTCCTGTGTCTTGAGCAGAAGCTCTGTCTCAATTCAGATCAGCCTCATCTGGGTGGGTTGTTTTGAATCTGTGCTGCTGTGCATGTGCGGTTCATGAACCAGTTAGTGATGTGAATAGGTGTCAGAGGTCTCCAGGTTCTCTCTTGGGAGATTGTCCTGCTTTCTTGAGCGTGTTTGACTGTCCTGATTGATTTTCAAAGACAGACGGCTGGCTGTCCCACCTGTGCCCTTATAGCTTTCATCTCCCTGTGTGGGCTGCCGGGGAAACAGCTTAGGTGGTGGGAAAGCCTGACATAGCTTCTGATTATGTCTCCTCCAAGAGAGTATTCACCCCTTGGCTGTGGATGGTTGTTGCCATTCCAGTTCCCCTTGTGGCTGGTTTTGTTTTGGGTGAGGGCAGTGGAGGGTTGGCCTTATTGTTTTGTAATTGTTTTCTGCTGCCATTCCTGTAGTAAGGCCTTGGAACAGAAGTCTATGCTTTATGCTTTTAAATCCCCTCCATTTTAAATTTTGTATTAAAAATAATTGTTTCTAATTCAGTTTTTATACCTCCTTTACCACCTTGCCATCAACCTTACCTATATACTCCTATATACTCAGCTCAAACATTTTCTACATTTGGAGCTTTGTTATGTAGAGGATTATGTAGCCCAAGTACATACTAATTTTACTTAATGGATAGTAAACCTAAGGCCACAAATCAGTGAACTCTGAGTGTTTTCCTGGAGTGAGAAAGGCCTTGATAGGATTGGTCCAAGCTGAAATGCCTGAATCTCGCAGGAATCCAGGTCCTCCTGACTTTTATCAGCCTTTCAGTGTTCAGCTGAGTGTTGTTACATGTTAATTTGTGGTAGATAATTTCCGAGACTTTGTTTCCAGTGAGTGAACATTGTTTTCTGACTTCTTGTATCCAGGTGAAACCCACAGACAGCTGCCTCTTCTCTGTCAGATGCTTTGATGACACTGTTCATAGCTTCAGGGTTCCTAAGAACAGCCTACAGCAGTCAAGAGAGGTAAGCTTATGCATGGATGCCTTTATTTCTCCCAGAACTTAAGAATATATACTCAGCACTAACATCTAATATCTTGTTAATTATACTTATTTATTAGGAATGTAAGCCAGTAAGATGGCCTAGTGTGGGTAAAGACACTGGCCACCAAACCTGATGATGTAAGTTTCTTATCTAGGACCCATGTGCTGTGCACACATAAACATGGAAATAAATATGTACATATAACTTAAAACTTTTAAAATAAGTAAAATTTATTTATTTGTGTGTGTGTTTGTGCATGAGTACAGCTGTGGGTGTGGAAGTTATAGGACAACTTTTGGGAGGCTAATCTTATCTTCCACCTTGATAAAGCAAGTTCTCTGCATTTTAAACCTGGCTTTTTACAAAGGTTTGCACATGGAATTCAGGTCCTTATAGCTGATGCAATCGTGCCATCTTCCAAGCCTTGATGATTTTTTTTTTTTTAAACTGGGAATATTTGTATTTAAACTTTGGCATAGGAATTTTAGTTGTTAACAACTAAAACAAGTAGATTTTGTGTTTATAGCTTTTCATTTTATACTGACTTAGAGAAAAAAAAGATTAAATGATTGTTTAAAAGCATATCCCTTAATTTATAAACAAACAAACAAACAAACAAACAAACAAAAACCCCACCAAAAAACCCAAAAACAAGCAGAAAAACAGCATGAAAAAAAATTGCCCAAGAATGTACAGTTTGTATGTCAGAGACTATGGGGTTGAATAGACTAAGCCTACTTCCTCCCTACCTCACCTCCATCCTCCTCACCTTCCTACCCACCGCCTTTCTGTTCTTTTTCTCTCTATCTAAAATCTAGGCTGTTTCAGTTCTGGCTGTTATGCATAGAGCAGCAACATGGTTGAGCAAGTGTCTCTGTAGTATAATATAGAGAGGCCTTTCAGCATATGCCCAAGAGTGGTTATAGCCAGATCTTGAGGTAGAATAAATGTTTCCCTTGGCTCACATCCTAACCAGCATGAGGTGTGATTTGTTTTATTGATCTTAGCAATTCTGACTGGAGTAAGATGGAATCTCAATGTAGTTTCCATTTTCATTTTTGTGATGACTAAGGATGTTGAACATTTCTTTAAGTATTTCTCAGCCATTTGAGTTTCATCCTTTGAGAACTATGCTTAGTTCTGTACACAATTTTAAACAATTTGTTTTCCTGATCTTAAGGGTTGTTTTTTTAAAAAGCTTTTTGTATATCTTAGCTATCAACCATCTATCAGATATATAATTGGTAATGATTTCTTCCCATTTTGTAAGTTGTTGCTTTGCTCAAATGATGGCATCTTTTGCCATTAAAAAGTGTTTCAGGGGGTTGGGGATTTAGCTCAGTGGTAGAGTGCTTGCCTAGCAAGCGCAAGGCCCTGGGTTCGGTCCTCAGCTCTGGAAAAAAAAAAGACAAAAAGTGTTTCAGCTTCATGAGGTCCCATGTATTCATTGTTGTTCATAATGCTTGTTATATTGATCAGAAGGGCCTTTCTTGTTCAGACAAAAGACTCATTTCCTGTGCAAATGAGTCCAAGCCTATTCCTCACTTTCTGTTCTATCACCACTAGAATATCTGGTCTTGTCCTTGATCTATTTGGAGTTGGGTTTTGTGCAGGATAGATATGGTTCTATTCGCATTCTTCTACATGCAGCTGTCCAGTTTGACCAGCATCGTTTGTTGAAGATGCTATCTTGTCTTCAGTGTGTATTTTTGACTTCTTTGTCAAAGTTCAGGTTTACATAGGTGTGTGGACTTACATATGGGTCTTTCCTTTACTTCCATTGATCAGTGTGTCTGTTTTTATGCCAGTACCATGCTGTAGTAATTGAAATCTGGAATAGTGATACTTCGAGCAGTGCTTTTATTATTCATTATTGTTTTAGCTATTCTGGTGTGTGTGTTTTCAGATGAAGTTGAAAATTGTTTTTCTACTTCTCATGAAGAACTATGTTGGAATTCTGTTGAATCTGGAGATGCTTTTGATAGGATGGCCATGTTCACAACTTTAATCCCACTGAACAATGAGCATGGAAGATCTTTTCATGTTCTGGTGTCTTTGATTTCTTTCTTCAGTTTCTTAAAATTTTTATTACACAAGTCTTTCACTTGCTTGGTTAGTGCTATCACAAAGTTTTTGTTGTTGTGTTTTGTTTTTAATATCTCCCTTGTTCTTACATACTCCCCACACACTCAAATTCATACCCCTTTTTTTAGTAGACTCGTTAGATACAAAGAAGCATCTAAAACATAATATAAAATAAAATAAAACAAATAAATTAATATGATGAAGCAAATAAACTACTAGGAGATAAAGAACTGAAGAAAATGCATAAGAAACACATACAAATACAGAAAAATACACATTTGTAAAAAGAAATCTGATAAAAATGCAACACTGAAAAAGATCTATAAAGAAAAAAAAAAGAAAAAAGTTAAAAAAATAAAAATAATGTCAGACAAACCATTATGAGATAAAGAACCTCCAAAAATGCCATTAAGTTCATTCTGTGTTTTCTGTCTACTGCTGGGTATGGGGTCTGCCCTTAAGGGTGGTTGTGTACCTAATGAGACTCCATTGGAGAAAACTAATTTTTCCTTTGTGAGCAGTTAGAGATAGCTTCTGGCTTAGGGATGTGGACTTGTGTCCACTTGCCCTCTTAGCTCAGGAACCCCACTTGGTTTAGACTGTGCAAGGACTGTGCAAGCCGACAGAGACTCTGAGTTCATATCAAGGAAGACCTTGTTTCCTTGATATCCTCCATCCCCTCTGGCTCTTTCTTTCTGCCTTCTCTTTCACAGGTCCCTGAGCTCTGAGGAGAGGAATTTGATAGAGAAATCCCATTTAGGACTGGGTGTTCCAAGGTTTCTCACTGTCTTCACTTTGTTCTGTTGTGTGTCATCTGTTTTTGTTCCCATTTACTGCAGGAGGAAGCTCCTCTGAGGATGGCTGAGCAAGGCCCTGGTCTGTGTGTATAGCAGAATGTCTTTAGTAGTCATTTTATTGCTATGTTCCTTTTAGCAAAACAGTAGTATTTGGATTTCTTCTGCCTTATCCCAGGTTCTTGTCCACCCAGGCAGTACTGGGTTTCATCTCATTGAGTGGGCCTCAAATCCAGTCATAGTAGTTGGTTACACCTACAGGCTTTGTGCCACTATTGCTCCAATGTATCTTGCAGGCAGGTCACCAGATGGAAGGGTTTGAATTTATAGCTGGATTGATGCTTGCCTTTTCCCTCTGGTAGTATGCAGACTATCTTTTAGTCCCATGATGACTAGTGAGTAGGGTTTGCTTTGGGTAGCGACCAGCTTGGCTTCTCCCTTTTCAGTGAGTTCTGTAGTTATTATCTTCAGCATTAGGGTCTTACCATCAGTTTGTAGAGAGCATCTCATATCTTTGGCAATAGCCTGGATTGTTTGGGGGTTATTCATGGGGCCCCTTTGGCCAAACACTCTTAATAGATATAAGAGAACTGGAGGCTTCATTTGTTGATGAGAGATTCAAGTTGGGGCTCTGTCTTCCCCATTATTTGGTGACTCCATTTAGATTCTTTCATACATGTATATATTTTAGGAAGTTTTATACAGCCCTTCAAATGACTCTTAGTTTTAGCTATCCTTTCTCATATTCCCTCCCTTACCACCCTCGTTATTCTTCCTCCTCATGATCCTCCTGTTTTACCTCACCACTGTCCATTAGCTATTAGCTGTCTGTTCTGTTTCCCCTTCCTTGCAAGATCTACCCAGGCCCTTACTCTATACCTAACCCCTGGGTTATGGGGACTGTAGCCTGCTTATTGAAGATTTAACAGCTATCATCCACGTATAATATAAGCAAATACCTACCATATTTGTCTTTTTGGATCTAGGTCACCTCACTCAGGATGCTTTTTTTTTTTTTCTAGCTCTGTCCATTTACCAGTAAATCATGTGAATTTCATGATTTTATTTTTTTAACAGTTGGATAGTATTCTGTTGTATAAATGTACCACATTTTCTGTATCTGTTCTTTGGCTGACAGAAATCTAGGTTTGTTGTTTCCAATTTCTGGCTGTTATGAATAGAGCAGCAATAAACATAATTGAACAAGTATCAAGGGAAGTATTGCTGAATCTTGAGGTAGATCTAGCCCCAGCTTTCCTGAGGAACTGCTACACTAGTTTCCATAGTGTCTGGACAAGTTTGCACTCCCAGCAGCAATGGATGAGTAGAGTATAAATTTTTTAAGTATGTTTTTATGATTCTATGAATTTCCTTGCTTTCTGTAGTAATGCCCCCTTTTTATTAATTTGGATCTTTTTTCTCTGTCTTTTAGTTAATTTGGCAAAGAGCTTGTCAGTCTTACTGATTTTTTTCTAAGAACCAACTTTTTATTTTATTGATTCTGTGTATTTTTGTTGTTGTTTCCATTTTATTGATTTTGGCCCTGAGTTTGATTATTTCCTGCAATCTAGTTTTTTGGGGTGTTATTATTTCTGTTCTAGATCTCTAGGTGTGTTACTCTGCTATCAGTACGATCTCCTTAATTACTTGATGTTGTCACCTAGTGCTATATGAGCTTGCCTCCGAAGCTGCCTTCATTGTCTTCCATAGGTTTGAGTGTGTTTCGTTTTTGTTTTCACGCAATTCTAAAAAGCTTTTTGCTTTCCTTGTTTTTTTCTGTCTCAACCCATGTTTTTCATTCAGCAGTAAGTTCTTTAAGTTTCTCTGAGTTTGTCGACTTTCTGTGGTTTATGTTTTTGTTGGTACGAAGCTTTAAACCATGGTGATCAGGTAGAATACAACTGTTATTTCAATTTTCTTGTATCTGTTGAGACTTCCTTTGTATGGCTATGTGATCAGTTTTGGAGAAAGTTTCATGGGCTGCTGAGAAGAAGGTATATTCTTTTGTGTTTGGGTGAAACATTCTGTAGTTGTATATTCGGTCCACTGATTTATGATGACATGCTTCCAGCATTGCTTTAGTTTTTGTCTGGGTGACCTGTCTATTTAGGAAGAGTGAGGTATTGAAGTTTCCTCATGATGTGAGGGTTAAGGTGTGATTTTAGCTGTAGCAGTGATTCTTTTATGAACTTGAGTACCCTAGTGTTCAGTGCATAAATGTTTAGAATTATGATATACTCTTGGTTAATTTTTTTATTTAATGTGTGTGCATTTCTTCTGATTTCTTCTAATTAGCTGTGTTTTGATGTCTCTTCTGTGAGATACTAAAACGGCTATACCATCTTGCTTCTTAGGTCCATTTGCTTGGAATACCTTTTTTATCCTTTTACCCTGAAGTGAAGATCTGTCCTTGATGGCAAGGGGTGTTTTCTTGATGTAGCAGAAAGATGGATCCTGTTTTCTAATTTAATCTGTTAGTCTGTGTCTTTTTATTGATGAGTTGCTATCATTAATATTGAGAGTTATCAATGACAAGTGTTCATTGATTCCTGTTACTTTGTTATGATGTACATCCACGCATTTGGTTTGCTGTTCTGGGACTGTTTATTCACTGTGCGTTCTTGTGTGTCATTACCTTCTTTGATACTCAAGTTTTCCTTCTGCTGTGTTCTGTAGAACTAGATTAGTAAATAGAAATTTCTTAAATTGGATTTTAGTGAGGAATATTTTTCTTTCTCTTTGGTTTTGGTTGATAGTTTTAATGGGGATGGTAGTCTGGGCGGGCACTGTGGACTCTCAGAGTTTGAAGAATGTCTCTCCAGGAACTTCTGGCTTTTAGAGTTTTCATTGAGACCTCAGGTATTACTCTAATGGGGTTGCTTTTGCATGCCTTTTTTCTTTGCCCCTTTTTTGATATCTTTTCTGTGTTCTATTCTTTGAGTGTTTTAATTATTATATATTGTGGAGAATGTCTTTTCTGGTCCTATTTGGCATCTTGTATGCTTCTTGTACCTTGTTATGCACCTTGTTCTTTAGGTTAAGAACATTTTCTTCTATGGTTTTGTTGAAAATATTTTGTGACTTTGACGTGTTCTTCTTTCTTTGTTTTTATTATTCATAGATTTGCTCTTTTTAGACTGTTACAGGTTTCCTGGATGTTTTGTATCTGGAGGCTTTTTTTTTTTTTTTTTTTTTTTTTGAGATTTAACAATCTCTTTGACTTAGGTATCCATGTCTTCTACCTGTCTTAAAAGCCTGAGTCTCTCTTTCAAATATTATACTCTGTTGATGAGGGTTGCATGTGAAGTTTTTGTTTGACTTATTACATTTTTCATTTCTAGTTTTATTTCATTTGGGTTTTATCTTTAATGACTATGTTTATTTTTATTTTAATCATTTTTATTTTTTAAATAATTTTTTAGATTTACTTATTATTTATACAGTGTATATAAATATACAGTATGCATGTACACCTCCAGGCCAGATGAGGGCACCAGATTTCACTACAGATGGTTGTGAGCCACCATGTGGCTGTTGGGAATTGAACTGAAGACCTTCAGAAGAACAGCCAGTGCTCTTAACCTCTGAGCCATCTCTCTAGCCCCTATTTTTATTTTTTTGAGACATAGTTTCTCTTTGTAGCCCTGGTTGTCCTAGAACTTGCTCTATAGACTAGGCTGACCTCAAACTTAGAGATCTGCCTGCCTCTGTCTCCTGAGTGCTGGGCTTAAGGGCCTTGAATTGCTTTCATTATTTCATTCAGCTCTTTGTTTCCAGCCTTCATTAAGAGATTTATTCATGTTTTTAAGTTCCTTAAACACATGCATAATTGCGTTTTGGGGTCATCGTCTATGCTTCAGCTATCTTGCATTTTTCAAGGCCTGCTGCAACGAGGCTCCTGGCTCCTAGTGGTGACAGCACTGCCTCAACTATGCACATCTGAACAGATGTGTTGGGTGTAGGCATCTGGAGATATTTGAGTTGTTTCTTGGCATCGATATCTTGTCTTTTGTGTGGGGTGTTCCTTTCTTCGGTTGCTCTTGTCATCTTTGAATGAAGATCTTTGAAGGCAAGTGTGGCTGTGGTGACCCTGCCAGAGGGTGTGTTCTGGAGGTGAGCAGGTGACACAAAGGGATGGAGAGGGGCTGTGGGAAAGAGCTAGAGCAGCGGTCCTCAACTTCCCTGTGGTGCAACCCCTTGTACAGTTCCTCATGTTGTGCTGACCCCAGCCGTAAAGTTATTTTGTGCTACCTCATAACTGTAGTTTTGCTGCTGTCATGACTTGTAATGTAAACATCTGATAAGAAGGATGTCTAATATGTGACCCTTGTGAAAGGGTTACTTAACCCCCAAAGGGCTTACTATTCACCAGTTGAGAATCACTAAGCTAAAGGGACAGGGTCTGTACCAACGGATTTCCCAGGCAATCAAGGTGTGTGTGTGTGTGTGTGTGTGTGTGTGTGTGTGTGTGTGTCCATGGGCGTGTGTGTGTGTGTTTCTGAAATGAAATCAAGCTGCTATAGGACTAAGAGTAAGTTTGGAGAGATTATAATGGGGGACAGGTGGGTCACGTATGTGGGTCCCAGCCCAGGGGGCTGCTGGGAATTCTTAGTAGGAGGTGTTTCTAGGGATGCTCATCTGATACAAAGGTGTAAAGACGGGCTACAGGACAAGACAGAGACTGTGGGGAGAACTCAGCTGGGTCCCCACTAAACCTCTGAACAGCATAATCAGGATCCACTTTGCCGGGATCCATGGGGTCAGTGACTTAGTGGGAAAGTCATATTCTTACAGTAGAATTCATAGCCTTAGGTTTTGTTTATTTTCTGTGCTTAAAGACTCTTTTCCCCCAAAATGATTTGCTTTGGTTCAGCAAGGCACCTTATATAATTGAGGTCATGCTTGTGATAGTGTTTCACAGAATTGAGCGCAATCCTGTAAGCAAACAAGGAAGTATTCTTAGTCCATTCTCTTAAATTAGTTTTCTTTTTAACACTTGTAAAAGTGAAATCATCAGGCAGTTGGCCTTCTTAAGGTGATTTAAGTTTATTGAGTGTGTAGTTTTTATGTTAAATTTGTAATATTGTGTCCAAGCCCATTGCTGCGCATTAGATTAGTCAAGTGCTGGAAACTAGTAATTTTAAGTGAAAAAATTTGTTCATTGCTTAATTTTATAATATATTCAAGTACTAATTAATACATATATGTATAGATGATATTTTTTATATATTTGTGTGTATGTGTGTTTTATTTTTTATTTTTGAGACAGAGTCTCTGTGTAATAGTCCTGGCTGTCCTAGAACTTACTATGTACACCAGGCTGGCCTTGAACTCATCCACCTGCCACTGCTTCCTGAGTGCTGGGATTAAAGGTGTGCGCCACCACGCCTGGCTATACATGATATTTTAAAAAAGCATTAGGAAAGTCTTTTTATGCAGACAGGTCGAAGACAAGAAACACTCATAATGTTATTGTGGACACTTATTTGCCATAGTTAGTTCTTCTATGTGAATTTTATGCTTCATAGATTATTACTATTTCTTTGGAGTAAAACTGTTTTTCTGGAATTCTTGGATTGTTTAAGAAGTGGCTGGAAGCAATCGAAGAACACTCTGCCTACAGCACTCACTACTGTTCCCAAGACCAGGTGACCGACGAAGAAGAGGAAGATGCAGTTTCCGCCATGGACCTGAAGGAGGCCTTAGCGGTGAGCTTGTAGCTGCCTTGACTGTGCTTTCTTTTAAGAGGCAAGGTTTTGAAGTTATGATTTCTCCCAGTAGAAATAATACTGCTCTTTGTTCACGTGCATCCCACTGAGACCTCTGCTACGGCAGTGCCATCAAATGCCTGGGTGAAAGTGCTGTGAGATTCTGCATCTGTTTGTGTGCTAAATACATTTGTGTTTGGAAACTGCCTTTAGTAGGTGGGATATGTGGAGCCTGACCTGCCGCCCTTTATGACTTCACTGTATTTCAGAGTTTCAATAATGCAACCATAGTGACACCTTTCTTGGTCAGCAGTTTCATTTAAAACTGCTTTCAGTATTAACGGCCCCTGCTTAGGGAAGGGTAATGAGTGGAGACATCCCTATCTGAAGTGACAGCAGTACCTTACCCATTTCTGACAGTAGGTATATTTTTGGGGAAACAGATATTAGCTTTCTGGCTGTATCTTTTAAATATATCTTGTTTATCAAAATGTTGGTGGATCTGGAAGAGTTAGACTACAAAGGGACACCTGTTTCAGTTTAAATAGTTAACTCAAAGCACATGAATTTTCCTACTAAAGTTAACCCTATGAAAATTAAGTGGATTATTTAAAGGCTGTGCATGCTTCTAAATAAACAAGTCTAATGAAGTTAAGTTTACTAATGTCTACAGAGTTTCATTGACTAATCTCTAGTGATCAAGGGATGTTAGGCTCCATCATTCCTAATGCTACTTATGGTAGGACATCAGAGATTTTGAACTCGTCCCTGCTTTGCTGAAGATATCTACTAGACTTTGTTGATGATTGCTTTATTTGTACTATTTTAGAGTATAGCATGTAATTTGTTAGCCATAAACATAACTCTTAGACCAGTGAATTTTAAAAAATAACATCTACCAGAACTTTTTGGAATAATAGCATCACAACTTAGTAAATATGGGCTGGAGAGAGTGTTCAGAGTACTTGCTGTTCTTGCAGAGGACCAGAGTCAGTGTGAAGTGTTTTTAGGTTTTTTAGGCTACAGACATCTCTGTCTAGTGGAGTTTGATTGCTAACTGTGAGAGTTCTGATTCTCAGTGTCTGGATACTTATTCAAAACAGTTAAAATCTGAAATGAACTTGAAGTATGTTTGCATGTAGCTTAGGCAGATGGACTCGAGACCTTTGACAGGAGTGAAGTTAAGGGAATTCTGGGGCAGACGATGGAGAAAATTTATTTTTGATGTCCACAGACGCAGTGAAGAAGTTAAGTATCCTGAGACTAACATACTTTCGTTATGTTAGTCATCTGAATGAGCTATAAATTAATTTTACTCTCTCAGCACTTTTTTTTTTTTTGCAAAAAGTAAATTTATAAGAAGTTTGAACATGGTGTCTGTATTGAGAAAGTAACCGTATTCTATGATAGTTTGGTCTCATTTCATCATCCCTCAAACCTAGGACCTCTTAAAAAGTAAAAAGCTTTTCTTTCAGCCTGTCATCGCCTTGAGGCTATCAGGAGAAAAGAAACCAGTAAGGCCGCAGACAGTCATTTCATGCCGTGTTGAGAGGATGTCAGAAAACAACTTAGAGGAGGGGGGAGCCAAGCCTGGTATTAGTTTGCGGTGTCTGTATGATCAATGCCAGCCACACAGGGCTGTTCCCATTCAAGTTAATAAAAATCACACTGTTTTCACTAATTTATTATTATTTTTGAATAGAATCTTGCTAAATATCCCAGGCTAGCCTTGAGCTGGCCTCACCTTCCTGAGTTCGAGGATTATAGGCATAGCTGTTATAACTGGCTCAGTTCCTCATTTTAACCAGGAATATCTCAAATGCTCAGGATAGATGCTCAGAGAATGTTTCTGTCATCATCAGAAGGCCCAGTGGGCAGCAGTGGCATGGACCGCCAGATACTTCCCGTGGTGGCGCTGACCAAGTGAGGCTTTGGTTTGTTGATGACACCTTAATTCTTTAGACTCTCAGCTATATTTGTGATATACAAAATAACAGAGAATGCTAAATTTAAACTAAATGGCAGAACAAAGTAGGTGTTTATTTAACTTGGTAAAGTGATTCTTAACTAAAATGAATATACAAAAAGATGCACAAACTGAGGACTAATGAGCACAGTGCATCTATACAGCGTGGCAGACTTGATATACCGATAAACTTCAGCTGCATAAGCGTGCAGAGCAGAGAGTCAGCGACAGGCTGCATGCCTGTAATCCGGAACTCAGGAGGCTAAAGCAGCAGAATTGCATAAAGCTTGAGGGTAGCCTGGGCTACACAGTGGTTTTCAGGCCAGCCTGTGTTTCATTTAGACCCTGCATCAAAAAACCACAAGCAAACAAAAGCTGCTACTTGAGAGAGAATAAAACGGGATAGTAGAATATACAGGTCTGTATTTATGTTGGTGGTTGGCATGCCTGGAAAGAAGAGTAAATTAACCCCAGCTGCTTTTAGACAGGAGCCAGGGTAAAGCAGGGTTCCAAGGCTGCCCGTCAAGTGTGTGAGGGAGAACTACTTTTCTTTCCAGGTCATTTTTGTTTTAATTTTTCTGTTACAACAGAGAACATTAAGACAGTTGCAGGGCCAAGCTAGTCACCAGGTACCAGAAAAATAACAAGGTGCTGTGGCTTGCTTTATGCAAGGAAAGATAGAGTGTGGAGCTGCCTTGAGGAAGGTCTGGCTAGAGTTAAGAAGGCTCACAGGGTGGCCACTAAGTACCACTCTCCACCGTGCTGTTTTCTGCAAAAATTAGGATCTACTATCTGTTATTTTTGAGGAGTAATATTTTGAACTGTAATGTTTATGCCAGAAGTTGAACTCATTTTATAGCTTCAGTTGGATGTATTTTGTGAAATACATATACTTTGTGCGACCGACCCTTCACCTATCAAGATACAGATCATGCCTATCACCTCACAAAGCTCCTCGGTCCTCTCTTTGGAAGCTGTTCTGTCTGCAGTGTTTACACTCAAGACAGTAGTGTTGATAGAAGCACTGCCAGCTTCCTTTTCTCAAGTTGCCTGGGAGCCTAGCCGTACATCTGTGCCCTGCTGGGCTGTCTTCTTTCCCGGTACTGTTTCATGTTATTAGTAGCTACTTTTATTGCTAAATTCTAAGTACTGTGCTTCTGTTCTTAATGAATCAAATGTGGATTTTCTGTAGCAAATATCTTGCTTGGATGTAGCTCCTTCATACTCACACCACTTTTCTCCTCCTACCTACCCCCTTGATGTGGTATTACATGACCCTCCATGTCTGGACAAGGCAAATGAAGTTGTGACAGGATGATTATTGGGGTGGGCCTCTCATTGTGGAGCTGTCTTTCGCTCTGGGCCTCTGTGCTCATGGGTGTCATTCTTGCTGCATACATACTCTGTACAGATAACTTGGATAAAATTAAAATTTTGTCAGCTGTTAATATTAGAACATTGTTTACAATGGAACTTTACTTATATAGTAAATAAATCAAATTTAAAACTTCAGCTTCCCTGGCATAGGGAAAATGATATAGAACCCAATATTGAGGCGCCATGCCAGATACCACAGAGTGTTCATAAGCACGATCTCATTGTATAGTCCCGGCTGGGCAAGAACTCATGATAGTGTGGCCTCAGTACCAGGATTGACAGGTCTGTGCTTACTGCCTAGCCCAGAAGGTGTTTTGTTTAGTTATCAATGTGGGTGATAGCAAATTAGAGCATGTACTTTGTTTCATTGTATTGAAAACCACTGTCCTTTTTAGTTATCTTCATGCTCTGTGTTCCTGGACTCTTCTATAGCTGACTTGTATATACCTTTTAAACCATTGAGCAAAGAAGCATGAAGGTGCTAAGTGAAGAGGCATGTGACCCGGGGTTTGAAGATGACGTTGGAGGGTGTGGCTCCCCGACAGTTATAACTCAGGAGTGTGCTGTGTGTCAGATAAGGAGTCTGCAGATGGAGCCAGTGCTTCCCTAGGCAACTTCCACCAGGAGACGAAACAAGTCAGCGGTGGCGCAGACTTGGACATGAGCAAGAATAGTAATGTGCACAGTGTGAGAATGGTCTTCTATTAATAAGTCATGAGTGATGCATTCGGTTGCAGAGAGTGTCTCCAGATGGACTTCCCCATCCTCAACCTGTATTCACAGTGTCTGAAAAATGAGCAAGCAAACCAGCTCTCTCTTTCTGGGGTTTTAAATTACATAGTATAAGTATTCTCTCTCAAATAAATAAGTAAACGTGAGTTATATTTAGATGTCATTAGGAGTCTCAAAACAGAAGGGATAATACAAATTTAAAAGAGAACATTGCCTGTCACTAATGTGGTCCCATGAATAATTCTGCTGTGGTTGGGTTGAGCTTTATAAGAGCTAAAAAATTTATAAAGAGAAATAGGAGAAAAGAGTGCTTACCTGTGTCACCTTGGCACAAGCTACGCTGGGTTTAATTTTGAATAAGCAAATGTTTTGTGATGTACCACTGGACATTACAAGCACAAAGCTGAGTCGACTCTGCCCACAGTAGTGATTCTAAAGTCATGGTTTACACAATAAGTATTTTTTAATTAATTAATTAGTTTATTTTTGAGACAGGGTTTCTCTGGGTACCCCTGGCTGTGCTGGAAATCATTCTGTAGACCAGGCTGGTCTTGAACTCAGAGACCAGCTGTCCCCCAAGTGCTGGGATTAAAGGTGTACACCACTCTCACCCAACCAGAAAAAAATATTTTCAACTGCTATAGCCAAGCAATTCCGGTATGATTCTTGCTCATTCTTTTTGTTATATAAAAATCAACTTAACATCGACAGTGATTTGCATTTTTTTCTTTGAGAATCTGCTCTGGGCTGGGTTGGAGTTAGATGATAGATTTTTCTCATTTATGTTTTACTTCTAGGGACCTTGCTATGAAGAAATGTAAACTTTCAAGGAAGAATGTTCTCTGTAATTGTCTTTACCTTATTTTCATGAGCTTCAGCTTAGTCAGAAAATGTCCTGCTTGGTCTGACCACATGGGCAGTAGCAATGTGGATTTAAAATGCTGCATGAAGGGTCAGCTTGTGGATTTTTTAAAACAAAAAAGAAATAGTTTTAAAAATGTGTCCTTGAGAAATGTAATGTATAGTTTCCTGGTGAATTTATTCAGATCTAGCAAATCAAAGAAATTAACTGCATATGTGTGGTGTAATGAGAGAGCACTGTTAATTAACCTGGTTGTGTGATGTCTACATGACCGATGTTGAATGTGTTTAGAATTAAATACTTATTTTTATTAAACTACTTGATTAAATATTTTATTTATATCCTTTTGTAAAGAAATTGTCTTAAATGTATCCAAATTGCAAGTTTTGATAGAACCATTAATGTGTAAGTAATTTTTGAAGTTCTTCATTGTTTGTTTTAATTTTGTCTCTTTTTTTTTTTCTTTCAGAGAGCACAGACATGTCAGCAGAGACTAGATAGGGAAATTTGCAACTTTCTCAAAATGATTAAGGAGTGTGATGTGGCCAAAGGTAAGGAAAGGGAGAGAGAAAGAAAGAGAGAGAGAGAATGAGAAATTGAATTAGCATTGACCGTCTGTTGGTTTTTGTGGCTTTGTAGCTGTGGGCGTGTGGGCACTGCACTTGTTCATTTGTGCCATAGTTCGCGTGTGGAGGACAGAGGGCAACTTGTGGGAGTCAGTTCTCCGTCATGCACTGAGCCTTGCAGCTCCTCTTCCTAGTTGTGATAACACCACTTTGAAAAATACTAAATTGATGCTGTCTTTTGCCGCCTCTGCTGGTGTGCTCCTCCATGCCATTCTGTCATGCCTTGTGGTGCAAACTCCATTACAGAGACCTGTTTGTACTTGGACCACTAATGGATTCAGCCAACAGCAGGGCCTCTCAGTGGATGGCTGGGAAGGATGGGAGAGGTAGATGAAGGCTTTATCTTTGCCGCCTCTGTAACAGAACAAAATGTGCTTATCTTGGTGAGTGAACAGCCCCATAGCACGTCCAGATGAGCATAGAGACACTTATCCCTGAGTGAGGATAATACTAGTATTATTTGAAAGCAGTGCTCTCCTTGAACAAAGAGTTTATCAGCAGACCCACACAGGCTTATATAGGAATGCACACGTAGGGGCGGGCGCATTCCTGAGCACGCTCTGTGTACGCTTCTATTTCTGGTTTACATGCTTGGTGCAGAAAGGAAAGTTGGCAGATTTGTTTCTGCTGTGGGCAGAGAATTTAGCCTTATGAGCAAAGTTTTCTCCAGTCACCAAAAAAGAATGAACCACCGCAATGTGACCCTGTCTGTTTCATGTGCATTTCTTCAGAGAGCCTTAGGTCAGAAAAAGGGAAAACAATTTGAAGGATGTTACCAATCTTTTAAAGGGTCAGCAGCTTTACCCTATGACAGTGTGAGCTTCCGTTGCCTAGTGGCTGACACATTTCCTGGGCAACGGCCCAACAGTGTTGTTGACTTCTTCCTGTCCCATGACCCAGGTCTGTCTCTGGCACATCCCCTTCACTCCTTGGTGAGCCTGGTCTTACTGTCCCCTCTCTTCCCAGCATGGCAGCTGCTGGTCTGTTGGTTCACGAAACACCTCTGCCAGTGGTGTTTCCCAGCCTTGGAACATGTTGCATGTATGAAATCCGTCTTTCTCTCTTCCTCTCTCTTCCCCTGCTTTCCCCTTCCCCTCCTTTCTTCCATTTCCCTTCTCTCTTCCCCCACCCTCTTTCTCTGGTGAATGAAACAAATGACCTACTACTTATCTAGGTTATACATTTGCAACTTCTTTTTCTAAGAGTTGGGGAGAAAGGAGTGTATGCCTGCTTAGTAAATGTGAGGTTGTTCAAGTCACTAAGATATTTTAGGAGCAACCAAAATAGGGAGGAAGCCAGGGAAACTGGGCTGGTTTGCCTTCTGGCCCACGAGGACACTGCAGTTAATGCCTGCAGCTTTCTACACCATCCTCTGACCCTCTGGATCCGGTCTTTTATTTTCAAAAACCATACACTTATTTTGTGTGCATGTCCATGTGTTTATGACTTTATCTTGCCCTTACTTGTTACGGCCTTCTTACTTTCTCCCTGGACTCATAGGTCTCAAGCATGCAAGGTAAGCACGCTGCCAGCTGCACTCATCCCTGGGCCCTGGTGTCTGCATTCCGAAGCTGTGGTTCCACCCTCTCCTGACTCCTTGTGTTCTGAATATGATACTTTCCAGCCTCTGTCATCTTCTCTGCCTCTCTTGGTGGTGCCCTGCTGATGGCATCTTTGATGTTCTACACTTTTATTCTAGCTGTAGGTTTGGATTTTGTTGCTCTGTGTACAGCTTGCTTGAGTCTGTTTTGTCGCTTACATACTCAGTGATCTTTCTTTAATCTAAAAATACTTTTCAACTATTTTCTCTTAAAATGGTTGTTCTTATTTTCGTCTTTCATCAGAAGAGACACACAACAGAATTCTCTTATTCCCCAGCTCTTAGTTTGTCTGAGTATTTCCGTGTTTTCATTCTGCATTCTGATTTGCTGCTTTGTGTTGGCTCTTTGTGCTTCACCGTGATAAGCAGGAATTTTTCTGGGCTGCTTCCCACCTCTTCTCTGTTGCAGTCTGATAACTTTTTAAGAATCACTTTCTAGTTTTTCTCACTCACTTTTGTCTCCTTTCCTGTTTAATCCCTTGACTTTGTAAGCCTCAATGCCTTTCGGATTCCAGAAATTGTAGATGGTAACTTTAAAATTTGTTTTGTAGGCTTAAAAGATGGCTCAGCAGGTAGAGCCACTTGCCATTAAGCTGACCTAGTTCAATCCCTGGAACTCACACTGTGAAAGAAGACAACAGCCTTCATGTTACCCTTTGATCTCCACATGTGTGCCAGTGTGCACACACCCTCATACACACAGACACACACACACACACACGATGAAGTAAATGTAAAAATGTTGGTTTTCCTATGCCAACACGAGCTTTCCAATGCACACATCTTTATAACTGTCTCTCTACTAATTATAGAGATGTCAGTTTAAAGTCCTTGGACCACTCCAGTAGTTCAGATTCTGTAGCTAATTCTTGAGAATACAGAACATCCCTCCCCTGGATGTATCTTTGTTTGAGATCCTTAATGAAGTGTGTTGTTCCTACTTCCTAGATGTGAAGGTGTCCCTGCAAAGAAACTTTCTGTCCCTGTTGAGGCTACAAAGTTTCTTCTGTATCCTGGCTGCTTTTTTGCAATTGGGATTTTTAACTAGATGATTCACAGGTCTAGGGATTCTCAGTCACTCTGGTTCCCACCCAGAGCATTAGGCAAACTGCCCTTCTTTATGGTTGGATACAAGGGAAAACTTTTTCCAGCTTGACACCCTTTCCCCAGTATAGGTGTTTACAAGGGTTTACACCCTTGGTTTAGGAGTGTCTTTTGATCAGGATTTCTATTGCTGTGATAAAACACCATGATCAAATATTTGGGGAAGGAAAGTGTTTATTTGGCTTACACTTCTACATCATAGTCCATTATGGAAGGATTTCCGGACAGGAACTCAAACAGGATAGGAACCTGGAGACAGGAGCCAATGCAGAGGCCAGATGAGTGCTGCTTACTGGCTTGCTTGCCATGGCTTGCTCAGATTGTTTCCTTGTAGCACCCAGGACCACCTTCCCAGGGTTGGCACCACCCACAATGGCCTAGACACTCCCTCATCATTCACTAATTAAGAAAATTGCCCTACAGACCTGCCTGTAGATCAGTCTTTTTTTATTTATTTTTTATTTTTTTATTAATTACACTTTATTCACTTTGTATCCCCCCATAGCCCCTCCCTCCTCCCATCCCTAGATCAGTCTTAATGGAGTAATTTTCTCATTTGGGGTTCCTTCTTCTGAAATGACTCTAGCCTGTGTTAGGCTGGTGTAAAAACCAGCATAAAGAAAGTGCATCAGAGGGTCCCTCAGTCTATCAATCCCGGGGTTCATGTTCTGTCTCACCCACCTCTGTCCTTACCCTTGCTCAGTGTAGCCTGCCACATCATTGACCTTATTTCCGCCCTCCGTTAGAGCTCCATTGCATGTTCAATGTTACTATTCTATCCAGCATCTTCATGGGTAGAGTTGGCCAGATTGCCTTTTGTCAACCTAGTCTGCAGCTTGGCTGCTCTAGTTAAGCTTCTCAAGTCCATGTTACCTGTCTAGAAGTTCAGAGCAGGATACGATTGCTACAGTGCTCAAGTCTGCTGCCTACAATCTTAAAAATTGCATTATTTCTGTCAACCCTTTTCTTCTCTGTTTGTGTCTCAGAAAACTGCATCATCAGTTCCCACAGCTTTCTAAACCTACACCTGTAGTCACTCTTCTTTTCTGTGCCTGTCTTCGTCATTTTCTCCCCACCTCCTACACAGCACTGACTACTCCTGCAGTCAACCTACTACTCTAATGTTTGCTGTGGAGCTGTCTTTTTGTGGGAGCTGTCTTTCCCACAAAGTCCGGCAATTTTGCGCGTCTGTCTTTACGGAATATTCTTCAGAGCAGAGGTGTCTCTTACAAACCGGCCCTTGCTCAGCCTCACTTGCAGCCTTAGTGCCTGAAGGGTGTATTATGAAGTCTGAGTTGATTTGACTTTATTACCTTGGTCTATTTACTTCAGTAGTCTCATCTCTTTCTCTTCCTTCTTTGCACTCTGTTCAGCAATGTGAACTTTTTCTTGTGTCACGTTGTCTTCACATATGTTGATCACAAGGTGTGAGATAGGAATTCTTCCTCATCTTTTTATATGTCATTTCCCAAACTTTCCAACATCTCTAAGACCAGTGTCAGTGTTACTGCTACAAGTGTCCAAGTTTGTACTTTTTCCCTGCATGCCCTAAGTAGTCTTTATATAGCTTTTTGTCTGTTCCAGCTACGGTTGGGTCTACACTTTTTAGAGAGGACGGGAAGGTTACAGAAGTTGCTTAGAGTAAGTTCCATTATGCCCTGGAGAGGGAGCTTCCGTCCTTGGTCCAGGCTGGCTTTCAAGCAGCAAGGTTGAGGAAGAAGGCCAGCAGGTGAGGCAGTGTGCTTGTAAAACTAAATGACCTAATGTCCTTCTTCCAAAGTCCACAGCAGTCAGAAGGACGGCATATGGAAGTGCCTTCAGACTTGGGCCAGCCTCACACACTGACACATCCTCACATTCTTGTTTCAGTTTTTTCTCTGTGGCACAGACTTTACCAGGACACCTCCCTGACCTGCCCACAGGTGGGGCCCTCTCAGTCATGGCTCTGCCCTAGTTACTGTTAATTTAAATTCTGCTCTTTTCATAACATCAGTCAGGAGTGATGCAAGCCAGTCAGTAGCTTTTGAAGGAGTTTCTATTTAGTTGGATTAAAATGAATTTTACGGCTTCATTTGATTTTTATTTGTAAAAGAATACAAATATGCAGCCATAGATCTGCTGTTTAATTCAATAAAGGTCTAACTTATAGGATCTCCTGGAAAAGCACCAGCTTCAAAAAAGATTTTCTTTTTAAAATATGATTCATCCTTTTTCCTATTCACCTTATATTTTTGTCTATGTGTTTTAAAGTCTTCAAGGAACTTTTTTTCCTTTGTAGACACAAGTTCTGTGAAGACAAGGTTCTCTGTCACTCTTCTTTTTCTTCTAGAACTTTCTTTGTTCATTAGCATAAGATATTTCTATAACTCACAAATATATATTTTTTATAATTTTTTAACTCTGTGTTCTGTTTTTTTCATAATGTACATTGGTATTTTGCCTGCATGTATGTCTGTATGAAAGTATCAATCCTCTGAAACAGGAATTACAGACAGTTTTGAGCTGCCATGTGGTTGTTGGGAATTGAACCCAGGTCCTCTGGAAGGATAGCCAGTCCTTTTAACCACTGAGCCATCTCTCCAGCCTCAATACAATATATTCTGGTCATGGTTTTTTCCACAGCTCTTCTCTGATCCTCCCCACCTCCTAGAAAGGAGATGCCAAGAAAGGAGATGCCCCTCCTTTCTCTTCTCTTTAGAAAAGAAACAAAATTCCAAACAAACCAGAATATAAAAGGAGAAGAAAAGCGCAAGACACATGCCCTTCTTAGACCTTCATCTCAGCACCTGGCATGGTGCCTTCTGAATGGTTGCTGCTCAGCAAATGGTACCTGAAATCTTACCCAGCTCTCCAGATCGCCTTGACCTGACTGTGACACTGTCTTCTCCGAGGACCAGTGTTTTAGATAGGCTGTTTTATCCAGCTTGCATTTAGCAACAGCGATGTTATTGTTCTCTAAGATTCAAGTCGTCTCTCCCTCCTCACCCATAATCGCTTCCTTCACTGGATAGCTAGCATTTTTAAAGAATGCTTTATTTGTTTGCTATTTGAGTTCATCACATCACTGTCTTTCTGTTATTTAACCCATTTAATACTGCACTCTGGGCTATATATCTCAAATACTTTAGTGCAGTTAGTGTAAATTACATACAGATAATACGCAGATACCAAACAGCATTCTGATGTACACACTTAGTGGGTGATTATTTTCAAACTAACAGCTTAATTTAAACCAGTAGGTAAACATATTCAAAATCTTATATCATGTATACTGTTACATCGCTCTTTTTTTTCAGGTTATAATTTTATGTAGATATTTCTAAAAGATAATTTTTTTTTAATTTGTATATATCATTTTCTTCACTTTCAGGAAACAGGCATGATTTTCTGAGATGTTGATATGATTCTGATTGGCAGAAAAGTCAGACTGAAAAGTCACTTTGATTCTGTGTGTGCGCATGCAGGAGAGCGTGTGCAGGCCAGAGCTCATTCCCCAGAGCGATGCCGCCATTGTTTTTATGAGATGGTGTCTCTCTGGTCTGCTGCTCACCAGGTAGGCTGTGTGGCAGAGAGCTCTAGAGCTCACATGGATAACAGAGTGGAGCAACAGATGCATTGGCTCGTGTTGCCATCAAGCCCCCCAGACATCGCTAAGGAAGCTTTATAAGGAGGATGGCATTTGAGCTAGGGGTGGGAAGGCAACATATATTCTCCGAGTGGAGAAACTTGTGACTCACGGGACATGTGATACCTAAAGAAGTAGTATCTCAAACCTAGGTTCAGGAGAGATAAAGTAGAAGGCTCTTCTAGCTAAACTAATATTGCTAAGAAAACAGCCTTGCTCACGTGAGCGCTGTGTGTCTTCAGGGTTACAGAGATGCATGGACTCCTTCTAGATAGAAGGTTGCCTGAATTGAGGTTTAATTTGCTATAGAGACAAAAGAAACAAGTACCTTTCATTGTCTTTAAAACTTGCCCAATTAAAAATTGTAGAGTATAATCATAAGAAACGACAGACTGTGAGCTTTTTATATGCCTCTAAAGTTAGGCTTTTCCCAGTATGATCTTCTAGCAGCTTTAATGACTTTAAAAATATTTTTAGTACAAAAATCATTTTTCCCTCAAAATCAGCAATAACGTTCCTTTAGGAGGTCATATAAGGTCATGTAGTGGCCATTTTGCATTCATGATGACAGTTTAGTTTCCAAATATTAACAGCCTAAAACATATTTTTAGTGATTCCCATTTGCTCACCTTTCTAAACTTCAGTAGTTCTTTTTGTGTGTGTCTGACAGTAGGTAAATATCATTGTCTAAGATACAAGCCCATATGAAATGGTCTTGTGTAGTTCTAAGGTGGATCATAAGCCAGGGGTCCTCAGGTCGGAAAGCAAACTGCCACAAAAATTAAGGTTCATCTCAAGACCTTATTTTTACAGTAGTATGCCAGAGAAATGAAATAGTGTGTATGCCTGTGTGTGTAGAAAATTTGTATAGTAAATTAGCTGAAGTACATTTAAGTATTCTTTATGTGTTTGGATACTTAATATTTGTTTTGTATTAGTCAAGTATTTAAATCAGAAATTATCTACAACCTAGGGTTTATTGGGGCTAATTAGCTGTGTGGTGGTATTTACTTTAAAAAGAATCCATGATTTCATGATAACGCCATTTGTGTCACTAAAGTGGAAAATTACTAGATTACCCAGAACATCTGTGGAAGACAAAGGCTGAGTCTGTTTTTCTCTTGTGTGTCTCACAGTTGTGTGTGACATCTGTTACATTTCTATTGCGGGAGTTCCAGACATCTAGCATGTGCCACTTTCTTAGCCATTTAACAAGCAAGTAGAGAATAAACCTTGACAGTGTGTATCAAAGACCCAAAACAAAAGGTAGTGTATATGAAGTCGTCTATTTTAGGGAGCAGCAGCTTTCAGTCACTTGTGTGTGGTCAGAGCGGCTGTCCCTGGGGAGCTGCTGAGAAAGAGGGCTAGAGGGCTTGCTGTTGGGTCCTGGTGTTCCGGAAGAGGGTTCCTTTCTTTGCTTACTCAGTTTTTCCTTTTGTTGCTCACCTCTGCCATATGAATTTAGATAAATATTCTTCCTAAATAGGTCCCTTTTCCTTAAATCACATTAATGTGGACAATTTTGGAATATTTAAAATAAGACTGAGGAAGATTGGTATTTAGAGTTTATCAGTGGTGCTTAGAGTGATGACTGTGAACAACTTGCACACTTGTTTCTGATGATTGGCCTGAGATTCTACACTTTCTTCCCCTCAGGCCATCATTTCTCTTCAGCCGGAAGTATTTGCATCTCAATGGGACCTACTGCCTCTGGCCTGACATTTGCTAAGGTTTTGGCATTTGATTCACTTGATCTCTTTGGCTTATTGGCCTTGCTTATGGCTTCAGCATTGTTTTAAATTAGTCAGGATTATTTGAAATACAAATGCTGCAGGTTTTTCTTTTTCAGTTTTATTTTAATGAAAAGTTTTCTTAAATATTAAGAACTTTATTTGGTTAGAAGAATAAATTTAAGTGATCATTGTGTGTAATTAGCAAAAAGCCAAGCAATTCTCTTGCATCCATTTGGACAGATATTCACAACATTTTACTCATTTTTAAGCAATAAATGTCTATTTTTTCCCTTTTCTCACCAATGTTGTTTTTTTGTTTTGTTTTGTTTTGTTTTGTTTTGTTTTTTAATGGAAAAATGCTTAAGATTTCTCCTGCCTGACAGGGTCAGGGTCTGATAATGCCATTTCATTCTCTGTCCATAGCTTAAGGGACAAAAACAGGCAATAAAAATAGGCAGTCGGCTTACACAGGGGATACAGTTTTGAAAGTACAAATACCCATTTATGCCAAACATTTTTCCAAATAAGAGCTAGAGGAAGTTGAATTAATGCCGCCTTCAGATTCGTTAGCCTCCACGTCAACCACAGAATTATTTTTGTCTCTTTTTAGCGCTTCACTTTTGAATAAAATTACTTACCCAGCAGAGACTGTCATGAAAGGAAATGCTGTTATAAGCAGCACTGTCTGCCCTTGTTGACTGTTATCCTTAAGCGTCACAAAATGCCCAGGTCCTGTGAGCCTTCGCTGCCCTTGGGGGTGGCAGGCTGGTCAAAGGCTTTTTCCTTTTCAGGCACTAAGTGAGGAGATGTCAGCAGGTGTTTACCTACGGTGGTAAGACATACTGGGTCCCGGCTCTCACAGCAGAGAGGGCACGTGGAGTTAGTGAATGTAAAGTGTTTTTGTGGTTCACTTTAACATTGCTTCAGCTCTCACTCATTGTGCATCCCAATTTTTGTTTGTTTATAGATATGCTTCCGTCATTTCTTCAGAAAGCTGATGTTGTCTCCGAAGCTTCTAGAGACACTTGTGTGGCGTTGAGTGACTGCCTTAATCTCTTTACTAAACAAGAAGGGGTAGGTCATTCAGAGTTGAATTTTTTTAAAGAAATTGCTTGGGTGTCACATGCCTAATTATCTAATAAGCTATTGTGTTTAAGGTGTTCAGAATTAGTATTATCAAAGGAAATGAAAACTTCCTTTTCCATCAAAATTCAGAACTTAACTCACTCTTGTTCAAATAGGGTAATTGTGAAATAACCGGTTTTTCCATCTTTGGGATGCATTGATGATGCCACATTTAACAAACATATGTAACATTGGTCTGTCCAAGGTGGTTGTGACATCTGGATAGGAGGGATGCGAGGGTACAGCGAACATCTGCATGTGAAAGCTGCTGACTGCCTTCCCTCTGGAAAACTGAGGGTCAGCTTTCCTCCACTGCTGTCCTGCTCAACACTGTGCCCCTGGATTTCCACATCTGAGTGGAGCAGTGTGCATCTCCATAAATTATCCTTTTTCTAAGGATTAAAATATTGTAAAAATGCCTTTTGTTTGTTGGAACTAGTGCTTTTCTTGTCTTTGGGATTTTTAAATTTCTGCATTCATTTTATTATTTTCTCCACATATGTTTAACCTTTATTTTCTGAATTAAGATTCCTAACTTATTTTTGTTGTTGTAATTTTATTTGTCTTTTAGTTAGAAATTGAGTTTCATAAAATCAGAAATGTACAACTGGTTTTATGTTTAGTTTGTATGCAGAGATGGAGCATTTTGTTCTCCCATGGTTAAAGTGGAAGCCTTACAAATTCATATGCAAGTTTTAAAATTCTGTCGTTGTATGTGTATCACAAATTCCATATATGATATGTTTTTGTAGAAGAAAAAACATTAGTATGAATTTATTGAAAACAGTCTTTAAAAGAATTCTGTCACTGTGCATATTAAGCATTTCATTTATTGATTAGCCTCTTTTTCAGAGAGACTCCTGCAGTGGAGCCCTGATTGGCTTCAAATTTATGGCTTCCTGCCTCCACCTCCACACTGTTGTGATTACATTTACACATTTACATACTAGTGGTACAGATGTACTTTGTTACAGACATACAAGTGTTTCTCCTTCCACAGTGTCAGAATTTATTGAATAATAGTGTTAACAGGGCTGACAGATAGCTCAGTGGTTAAAAGCACTTGTTGATCTTACGAAAGACACAAGTTAGGTTTGCAAGCACCCAGGTGCTTGGTTCACACATGCCTCCACCTCCACCTCCAAGGAGATTCAGTTCCCTCTTCCAGCCCCTGGGCACTGTAGTAGAGTGCACATCTGGTCTCTAATGCCACCCCCCCATATACATATATAATATAAAATAATTAAAAATACTTTACAGCCTCTAATAATGAAATACATTTATAAGCTAAGTCAGTTTTCTTAGTTGTAGTTTACCATGTGCTTATGATTTTCCATGGTAGAATGGTTATTTGCAATCACAGATTCTTTTATTACAATCTTAATTTTAAAGATCACACAAGTATTTTATGTACAGGATACTGAATTCAAGGAAGGATGAAAGAGGCTACAGAGGGCCTAGGAAGGCAGGACCAGAGAACTGGTATAGACACAGAGACCAAGGCAGATAGGTAGGTAGGGCATCAAGTTACCTGGTCAAAGGGTTTTCGAATGGAGATGAGAAGAGCCTATTGAAGGCAGAGCTGATTGAAGGTGCGCTCCAAGTCCAGACTAATGGCAAATGTCAGATGAGGAGTGGACAAAGTCGCAAGTTCATTGCAGGTTGATACTGTGCTTCTGATGGTTTCAAGTCAGGTGGGTGCCACCACATCCCAGTGCACAGTGTTCTTCCTGCGCCATGTGGCGAGTTTCAACCTTTGTCTGCTGTGTGTGCTGTACTCCTGGGCTTGGCTTTTCTCATACAGCTCTGACATGTCCACAGGTCCATGTTTGCCCTTGCTAAGTTTACAGGTAATGTTTTACTTGGCACTTGTAAGCTTCTCTTGGTCTGTGCCATAGTTTGTGCTGTACAGATGGTAGTTGTTGATGCTGTTTTGTGCAACCCAGCCAGTTCCCTCAGCCATCATACCATTATATCTTTTTAATGATTAAAAGTAATTTTTTCTAAAAATGTGTCTTCTCAGCATTTCTGGTTGTGGTGGTTTGCATATTTCATGTGCTAGTGTGTTTAAATGAGGGATGGTTCAGTGTTCTAAGTAAATCTGAACTGAGATCATAACTTTGGAACCAAATTATATTGCTGGCTTCATATGGTGTTTGTCACTCTGTAAAACCAAGTCTCTCATTTCTCAGGTAGTACCTAATGAATGCGCGGATGCCTTTTTGTTCTAGGGAGGTATGGTTTTTAAGGCCGAATAAGAGTTAGGTTATTGTGTGCGTGATTTCTAGAAAAATATATTTGTTTTAATTTTTAAACTCTTTGCTTAATAAAATAGTGTACAACCCATCTCTTACTGAAAAAACAATCTAGATAGACAAAAGCATAATCTTAGTGGTAAGACTATTAAATTCTTTTAGCCTCTAAGGTTTGCTTGGAAGATTAAGTGCAGTAAAAGGAAGCAGAATGCCAGGTCCCAGTGTGCACCGAATGAAAGCTGCAGCTATAATTGTGAGAATTCACAGAATTAACGCTTGTGATCCCATCTCTCCGGGTCTTTGCTGTTTTGTTTGTCTTGCTCTGAACAAAGGTAGTGCTATCTAAGGAAACTATTTGAATGCTGTGTAGGGTGTGTTGGCACTCACCTGTAGTCTCAGCACTGGGCTAATGCAGGAGCATGACCATGAGTTCAAAGGTTAGACCACCTTGGCCTACATATATAGTGAGACTGTGCCTGTGCCTCTCACAGGAAAAGAAAATGATTTTAAAAAAAAAAAAAAAGATTTCCTTACTCGTGGGCTGATTCTGGCTCGAGTTGTTGTTTTTCCCACACTCATTACTTGCCACGTGAGCAGCAGGGGGTGGACCCTGCACACTGATGTCTGATCTAAAGGAGGCAGGAAGTTGGTGGCAACCCTGGTCTGAAACTGTAGTGGCCTGGTTTACATTTCAGTCTTTATCTAAACCTGCGATGGGCTTCTACGAAACAAAATGTTTTCTGGAACGTTAGTTCTGTAAGGCTTAATAACGCGGATCTGATGCCTACCTGTGTGTAGGTGCACCGGGAATATGCTACACTACATAGGGAGTTTCCCTCAGTAACTGCTATTATTTCACGGTACATCAAGACAGCTTTTTAGAAATATGGAATTCTATCTCAGTAAAATGCATGACATTTCTTCTCAGAAATGAGAGATAAATGAGAAGTGAATTAGTAGTGTCTGTGAAGTTTTTCTTCTTCCACCACCACCATCATCATCATCATTTTACAAATTTTCAATACATAGCCATAGTTGACCTCGAACTCGAAATGTACCCACCTCAGCTTCTAGAGTGCTGGAGTTACAGGCTGGCACCGCTACCCTAGACATGAAGTTTGTTATTCAGACGTGGTATAAGCACAGCACAGGGATTGAGTAGCCTGATTGAGGTCACAGTGGCATAATGTAATGTCCTACTTATCTGCTGTTATAAATTTCATTTCTACTGTCTGAAGCTTTATTAAAAGAGCAATCATAACCTTTGAAGTCATACAGACTTGTGTGTCTCACTTTTGTCTCAGCTGCTTAATCGCTTCTTACAAACAGTCCTGTTTGTAAACTTGGTGGCCAGCTGAAAACATGTGTGATAGTTTTGAAGACTAACAGAGATTTTCCTCATGGCCACACACCTGTTTTGCACCTGCTTCCAAGCACACAGGGATGGCTGTAAGCCGCCGAGCTCCACATTGACAAACCTGTACTTTATTCTCTTTCCCTGGCAGTTATTTTAGAAGGTGTTCGGTTACTTTGATTGTTGATTTCGCAGTACTAGGGATGCGACCCATCCATCATAGATTACTTTGGCTTATTTTGGGAACTAAGGCAGTTTCAACGTTTGTTGGCCTTTGTTTCTGAGTCCTGTGCCTTCTGGTTCTGTAATTCGTGCATGTTTTACTTTTTGTGGCATGCTCTCATATGACCTAAATAGCTCGTTGAGAAAACTATAGTATTCTAGAATAAGCTGAAAAATTTTGGTGTGTGTGTATGCGTGTGTTTATGTGTGTGTGTGTTGATGATGATGGGGAAGGGACAGAGGAGAACTTTGGCTATTGTTCCTCTGATCCCACCCACCTTGTTTTTTGAACAGGGCTGTCACTGGCCTGGAATTTGCCAAGTAGGCTAGGCTTACTCACAAGCCCCAGCAATCCACCTGTCTCCTGTGACCTCTATGATTACAAGTGTGAGCCATCATGCCCTGCTTTTTTACTTGGCTTCTGGGACTCAAAGTCAGGTTCTCTTACATGCAAGGCAAGTATTTCACTGACTGAGGTATTGTCATAATCCTTTTGTTGATCTTTAAAAGGAACAGAAAGCTATAAGAACATGGAAATATTAATGCTGTATTTTTTTTCTTTAACCTGGTCTGAGACTTTATCAAAAAGCAAGACATTTGTCTCATAAATTATATATTTCTATGTTTTTTTTTTTTTTTCCTCACCAGAGTATGGTCCTGGAAGTATTACAATGATACGTGGGAGCCATCATTGGCATTCTCTTTGTTCTGGTATTACACTTCTGTATGCTTAATCAAACCAGTTTTTCCAAGTTAGGAACCTGCCTGTTTGAAGTTGCTAGAAGAGCATCATATACTTTCATGGTAAGCCTCCTGCTGCTGAGCTGAGGTGACCCAGATGTGTGTCTGGATGCTGGTGGTACAATGGATGCAGATACTGGGCTGGGCCATCTGAAAGGTTAGTAGACCTTGTGCTGTGCCTCTGGATAGAACACTGATACTGTTGAAGAGAAATCACATGATTGTGTGGGCTTGCTGCTCTTCCAGGGCGTGACCTCTGATGTTCATTTGACTTCCTGTGCTTACCAATAGTGCTTCAGTCATTTGGTCTCCCTCTGCTCTTGTTTACTGATGTTGACAATTCCTTCAGCTACCACCCCTTTCTAGCCATGTCCTCT